TCTACCGCATTGACCCAGTCATGAAAGCCTTTGGCATGCCCATGGAACCCTCGGGTGACCATGTGTTTGCATACCGTTTCAGGTATTGGTAACACTTCAATCAAAATCGTGGTAGTTCTCATCAAGATAATGGCAGCTTTCATCCATGCGCCTGCTTTCTCCCTGTTGTGGCGTTTGCCGATGGTGCGCTGTCACAGGCTGGCTGATCTCGTGGGAATGCAAGTGGGGCAGGCAGTGGGAACACAGTTCGTCACTGCATTCCCCGAGAGGGCCTACAAGGCAGCCCTCATCCCCCTCCTCGTTGAGGCCAAACGCTTCGGTAAGACTCCCTGCATACCTGGTCACATACCATGCATGGTTTCGCAACCTTCAGCACTCCGTGCATGGTTTTGCTTCTGGATTATTTTATCGTTCCTAGTGCCACTGCAACTGGTTGTGCGTTCTTTCTGATCTCGTTAGACCAAGTTTTTATTTCCACCATCTTATCTGTGCATGAGCAGGGGAGAAGTCGGGCAAGGGCTTCTATTTGTACGACAGCAACAGGCGCCAGCGCCCTGACCCGGCGATCAAGGAGTTTGTGGAGCAGGCAGGGCAGTACAACAACATCAATTCATCAGCAGCCCATGTGATGTTTCCTTCCCCATCAACTCATCTGTGCCTGAGCAGGGGAGAAGTCGGGTAAGGGCTTCTATCTGTACGACAACAACAGGCGCCAGCGCCCCGACCCTGCAATTAAAGAATTCGTGGAACAGGCAGGGAAGTACAACAACATCAAGCCGGGCGGCAAGCCCGTGGCAGTATCTGACAGGGACATAGTGGAGATGATCTTCTTCCCCGTGGTGAACGAGGCGTGCCGTGTGCTGGACGAGGGTATTGTGGTGCGCGCCTCGGATCTGGACATCGCCACTGTCATGTCCATGGGCTTCCCTCCCTACCGGTGAGTGCTTTATGTCATTGTTTCCCTTTTCTATTGGTCAGCAGCAGGGTTAGCTAGGGACAGGTAATAGGACGGGTGCAGACATTCCCTCTCGGTAATTGGTGCTAGTCGTTTCGGTTGTAGGGGCAAGCAAGCCCGTGGCAGTATCTGAGAGGGACATAGTGGAGATGATCTTCTTCCCCGTGGTGAACGAGGCGTGCCGTGTGCTGGACGAGGGCATCGTGGTGCGAGCTTCAGATTTGGATATTGCTACGGTCATGTCCATGGGCTTCCCCCCCTACCGGTGAGTAAATGGTGTTCTTTCCTCCTTGCCAGTGAATGGGTACGGTGTATTGTGGTGCGCGCATTGGATCTGGACATCACTCTTGTCATTCCATGGGCTTCCACTCTACCGGTGAGTGTGCGATGTGCGTGCCCCTGTCCCTGCTGCTGGTGAGGTGAGTGGATGGGCTTCACAAGGAATGTAGGCATCGCTTCACGGTATGTAGTGCTCTTCCCCGTGGTGAACGAGGCGTGCCGTGTGCTGGACGAGGGCATTGTGGTGCGAGCTTCAGATTTGGATATTGCTACGGTCATGTCCATGGGCTTCCCCCCCTACCGGTGAGTGAATGGTGTTCTTTCCTCCTTGCCAGTGAATGGGTACGGTGTATTGTGGTGCGCGCATTGGATCTGGACATCACTCTTGTCATTCCATGGGCTTCCCCCCCTACCGGTGAGTGAATGGTGTTCTTTCCTCCTTGCCAGTGAATGGGTACGGTGTATTGTGGTGCGCGCATTGGATCTGGACATCACTCCTGTCATTTCATGGGGCTCCCTCCCTCCGTACAGGTGAGTGCGTGTTGTGATTGCTTCTCTTGCGAGTGACTCACTAGATTCCTTACAGGAATAGGAGTGTGTAGGGTAATGCTTGAGTTCGATTCTGTAGTGCTGAGCGATACATTGTCATGCTTAGCCTTGGTATTCCTGTTCTCCCTCTATTTCGTGTTGTTTTCACCCTATTTGGCTTGCAGGGGTGGCCTGGTCTTCTGGGCTGATCTGGTTGGTGCAAAGTACATTGCGGATCGACTCACCACGTGGTCACAGGCGTACGGAGGTTTCTTCAAGCCCTGCAACTACTTGCTTGAGCGAGCAGCTAGAGGCGTCAAGCTGGTGAGTGAAGGCGATTGCTACAGTGGTGGATGCATTGGTGAATATAGTTTATGTACTAATTTCGCTGCGCTGGTTTGAGTTTTGTTTGTTTCTTGCATCATCCTGATGTATGGTTGAAACATGCACTGGTTTATGTATCTTACAGGGAGCACTAAAGGGGGCATCTTCGATGGCTAAGCTTTGAGTGGATATGTTACAGGATGGTGGGCAGGCTACTATGTCGATGCTAGTGACTGATTGTTTGATGTTGATTGTATACACATTGTCCTATGGTGTACAGTGGAGCTAAATAAGGGCGTATTCCTATCCTCCTATCAAGAAAACCTCTTATCAAGCCCACACAGGAAAATTGCCTAAACCCAAAATCTCTCGCTACTTTCACCAGGCAAAATGTGCATTCTTGATAGGAGGTTTCTTGATAGGAGGCCGTAGGAATACGCCCTAAGATGAAATATGCGGGTCAACAAAGATTTGCCAGGTGGAATTGTACCATATGCTCTACAAAAGCTGAGCAGTGCAACATAGGCTCTGTTCTGTAGACATCTGCCCGAAGGGGGAGGAGGGGGGGCGAAAGCAAATGACCAGGTTTCGTACGCAGTTTCCCAACCGAAATCACATCCACCCCGCTACAACCGAAAGCGCGAAACTTCGAGAGTGAGGGCGGAAACTGCTGACGGTAAATGGCGAAATTACACGCTCAACTTCGCGCCCAGTAGGCAGGGGTACATCGATGGGACCAACCCTACATAGCAGGGTAATCATTTGCCAAGAGGGGGGTCAGCGCTAGAAAAACGGAAGATGGTTGAGAGCTCCGCAAGGGTTTTCAGTCTCTGCAAGAAGGTTGGGAGCGAGTTCTTTTCGTCGTTTCGGGTTGTGCTTTTCTGATTGGATTGCGAGCAGCCTGAGGGAATGGCCATCGAGGGTAGAAAGGGGGTGTCCCCCCCCCCCGTACCTCCCTCCCATGTCTCTCGCCACGCCCTGAAAAAGCGGGTTTCGAAGGGCGGGGCGAGTGGCGTGAATTTTGCCAAAGAAGGAAGGTGTGGAGGGGAAATCGGTAGTTTCGTATGGGCCAAAAACCCACGGGGGTAAATGGCTGTTCTGTAGCCATTTCCCCTGAACAGGTTCGGAGGGGAAATGGCTGGCTCGGCACCGTCTGCAAAACGGTTAGCCGTTCCGGACCAAAAAACGAATGAGGGGGAAGCTACCTATTTCCCCTCGCCCCCCCGCCGCCAGGGCCTACAGAACAGAGCCATAAATTCCTTGGGGCTGTTCGCCAGCACCATTATATCTAAAAACGACGGGATAACGACGGGATCAGGAAGGTGGGTCTCGCCTTCCTGATCCCGTCAGTTAGAGTTCGTTAACCTCCGTCAGCTTGGTCAGCCCGTGAAAATTGTGCCGAGCCTCACCCACCATCCAAACCAATTAACAAACTGGGCGTCTGGCGAACGCTCACTTTTGTACACCAATTTCAACGTTTCGACGGCATATGGAAGCGGGGACGAAACTTCCTCCCCAGGCAAAACACCATCCCCTTGCAATGCCATCGTCATGCTGCGTTTTTCGAAGCACAGCGGTGGCACAGCGGTTGCACAGCGGACGCATCGCTGTTCAGGGGAACCCGGGAACAAGCCTTCAGTTTAATAAAGGGGGGTTCGTATACCCCCCATTTTTCCCTCCCAAACACACCTTCAAAATGCCCCCCGCACATAGCTTCTTTTATTTGCGTTTTTTACCCACGTTGAGCAATTTTTTATCAGCAGGCAGCACAAGGGTCAATGAAGAGCAAATTTCGCGCCATTGGGGGGAAGGTGGGGATGGACCTTCCCGACGCGGTTGCGAAATTTCGTCTTTCGAGTGCGCGTAGTTTCTCGGACGGCATTTCGCCCAAACCAGGAAGGAGGGTTCCGCCCCCGTTTCCATATGCGGTCGCGATGCTGATGCCATCGTTTTTTGTTGAAGAAACGATTTGCTGGCGAACAGCACCCTTGTGTAGGTGAAGATTCAAGTCTGGGTGGATGGTTGTTGACTCTGAGAATACAAGCTTCGCAGCCGTCATGTGCGATCAACTTTCCCAGTGTCTGTCATCAGCGAACCGTCAACGAATCCCATCGCACACGAAAAGGTGTGGAACCCTAGTCCCTGTATCGTTGTGTCAGAAGTTTGGGTTTCAGACGTGTAACAAATAACGTTTCTAGACGGTCTAGTACGTTACAGTGTGGTTATACGCGGCTCCGTCTAAACCCAAGGAAGCAGGCCAGCGTCCAGCCAATCCTGAAGTAGAGGGAGGCGTGGCTCGTTGGTAGGGAAGTGAAGGGAGTGGGAGAGGAGGAGAGGAGGAGCTTTTCCTAGCTCATCTCTTCTCCATACCAGTGGAGAGTATGCTCCTTTCTCAGCCGTATGTCTATCAGAAACAACTCGTTTTCCCCGCTTTACGACTGGACTCGGTGTTCCACTTGTTAGTGTCGTAGACGCCGTCTCGGAAGGCATTACTTAGCTAGCGGTAGCAAAGAAACAGGCCGTTAGGGTTTCGGTTTGTAGGAAGCAGCCTTGCTGACCTTCCCCGTTTTACCCTTGGCACCACTTTTACTGTCCACTGACGCGTGGCAAACTTGGTTACACTGCAAGGACGTTTTTGCAGCTGCGACTTTCCTTACAGACGATTGATAGAATCCGAAGGTTGTGGAGTTTCGTTGTTTTAGAGCTCTTCCTCTTTTGCTCCATTAGGGTTAGCAGCAGCAGTAGCAGCAGCAGCATGGCTCACGTTCAGGACCCGTGGGTCAGAGAGTTCGAGGATGCTTCCAGGATGGCGGATGACGTGGCAGGCCTCATTCAGGAAAGAAACGACGCGATCAAATTGAAAGGGGATCCGACGCGTCTCGTCGCTGCAGCTCGCCGAAAGATTGCCATGCTTATGGCGAAATCGTACCGCCTAGAAACGGGGCTTCGAGCCGCAGCGGAGAAGTCGCAACTGTAAGTTTCTTGAACGAGGGATTAGAGTAACCGTTTACTCACCCAAGTAGACCGGGCGAGCAGCAGCTCTGGATTCAAAGGAATATAGGAAGATTGACGGTAGTGTGACAGTCGACGCACCCGCGTGGTTGACTTGACAAGTGCAAGCAGCTTGTTATGAAGCAGGAGCGCATGGTTATGGCGTAGTGAAACTGTTCTAGTCGTACGTTACCGTTCTTTCCGCGTTCGCTTCTTCCGCAGCTTCTAGGCTCGGTGATTCCTCCGAGACACACGGCCTTCGATTTGACTCTCGTTTAACTCTCTCGATTTCTCCCTTTCTTTCTCTCCTCGCGTTTCGGGTCGACTCAAAACATTTGCTGCTCTCTCTGTTTTCTCCCTCCCCCCCCCCCCCCCCGCCCCCCCGCAGCAACTCTACGGAGATTCGGCGACGAGAAGACCTTCTTCTGGCTCTTCGCTTCAAGGCAAAGGAGATGGCAGCTGTGCTCACCTCTGCGCAATCCGCCGCTAACAGGTTGGTCGTCGCCTCTCGTCTCCTCTCTCATCAATACGTATCGCCGCCTTCTTCCCCATTCAGCTCCCTTCCCTACTTTTTCCCGTCTCTCCCCACCCCTCTCCCCCCTTCCGTTCCCCCCCCCCCCTTCCTCTCTCTCTCTCTCTCTCTCTCTCTCTCTCTCTCTCTCTCTCTCTCTCTCTCTCTCTCTCTCTCTCTCTCTCTCTCTCTCTCTCTCTCTCACCATTCTGACCCTTCGCTTTACTGCCTACTTCTTTCTTTCTTCTCGCTGTTTCAGTGTTTTCGCCTCAAGCTGCAACTCTTACTTCGTTTTTGTTGAGTTCCGTTTTCTCTGGATCCCTCAGGTAACATGTACCCCAATAGTTGCAAGCAGAAGACATTGTGCTTTCCTCTTTTTCTTCCCTCTTCCATCTATCCCTTCCCTCGTTCCCCTCCCTCTTTCCCTCTTGCCCTCTGTCCCTCTTGCCCTCTGTCCCTCTTGCCCTCTGTCCCTCTTGCCCTCTTGCCCGCTTTCCCGCTTTCCCGCTTTCCCGCTTTCCCGCTTTCCCGCTTTCCCGCTTTCCCGCTTTCCCGCTTTCCCGCTTTCCCGCTTTCCCGCTTTCCCGCTTTCCCGCTTGCCCGCTTTCCCTTCCCTCCTGTGCAGGTCAGCCCTGCTGGGCTGTGACGGGCGGCCGCTGGTGGCGGCGGAGACGGAGAGAACAGCCTCGCGTGACAACAAGGGACTCGTGGCCCTGCAGCAAGAGATCATGCAAGGTATGCTGCTGAGGATATGCCCTTGTTATGTTGGTTTTTTTCTCTTTTTGGCTGAGCAGGTTGGTGGTTTTTTCCCTGCGTGCCTTTTGCCTGGCATGGGTCCTGATTGCATTCTGTCATCTGGACCCTCCTTGTTTTGTTACTTGTCAACAGGAGTGGCATGTTTTTTCTCTCTGTTGTTGTTTTTTTTTTTTAACCGTGTTCCACTTTTCGGTGTGCGTCTCACCTGCCAACCGGTGCAGAGCAAGACTCGGAGTTGGAGGAGCTGGAGTCGACTGTAGCGACCACCAAGCACATTGCGCTCACCATCAATGGCGAGCTGGACCTGCACCGCCATCTGCTGGTATGTGCTTTCTCTTTGTGTTATCGTCTCGTTGCTGTGGTGTACAACACATGTTTTGATAGCTACTATTCCTACTGTATGATTGACACATCGCCGTGATACCTTTGTGAACATCCAAGTGAGCCTTTGCTGCAGCAGAATCAGCTATGCTGAATTGTTGCGTTTCTGATGGCCGGCAGCGCTGTTAATGACTGAAGCTCTTTCCACGTACTTGTGCTTGAATGGCTTTGCTGCCGGGCGCACGTGTGCAGGATGACTTAGATGACAACGTTCAGTCAACAAACGCTCGTGTTCAGGTGAGCTTCTCGTTTTGCTTCTATCAGTCCATCTTCCCTCACTGTCCTCCCTCCCGTCTCTCTCTTCCTACCTTCCTCTCCTCCCGTCTCTCCCCTTTCTTTCCTCGCTGCTGCTGCTGCTGCTTTGTTATTCTCGCTGTCACAGCTCAATTGTAGACTTGGGACACATATTGTCTGTTGTGTTCATACAATCCCACTTCTCCCCCCCCCCCCCCCCCCATGATTGACACTGCACAGCTGGCCAAGAAAAAGATGTCGATATTCATGCGCCGATCAGACAACACATGCAACATGCTCCTCGTCATGCTAGTAGCTGCAGGGCTGGTATTTTTCGCACTTGTAGTGTTTTCGATTCTCAAGATTGTTAAGGGACACTAAGATGGTTCTGTGCAGTAATGTCTTGGTACTGTACTCTCAGTAGCAAAAAAGAGTTATTTAGTTAGTGTGTGAGTCGTTATAATTATGTAATCTTCTGTATACTTATCGAACCACCATGTGTACTCGGTCAACCGTGTCCTCTTGTTTCCATCGGCATGCATGTGGACGAGATTAACCAGAGTGGTCTTGGGTCGTCGTCCGCCACGTGGCCAAGTAAACGAAATTAGCGGTTTTGTCCTTACTCCCAGCTGCCTATGTACAGTAGAATATTCTCTTCCAGCGACAGCGGATGCAGAACTTTTGTGGGAAGGAAGAAGCAGCCTCTCAGAGAATGGTTTAGGGCGTGTAAAATTGTAACGACCAAACGCTATGGTCGTTCATTTGGGCGTTTCTGGCGATTGCGAGGAATTAGGGTTACGCCGTTAAGAGTAGTCACTCCGATTTGACCGAAAAGCAAGGGTATTACGCATAGAAATTGGACGCACTGCATTTTGGGAGCCACCTAGACATGTTCCTTCAGCGAGGGGAAAAACCTTGGTGCTCGCCTAAACGTAATGTTTTGTCAAACACTCTGGTCTAGGCCTTCGAGCCCCCTGTATTCTATACACCGTTCAAATGCAGTAGTAAGAATCAAAATTTTCGCTTTCAATTACGGGATGGTGTGTGGCGTATGCCCTACGAACTTCCGAAAATTGTGGCGGGGATCGCTTACGCGTTACATCGTTTCGCAATCACCAGAAACGCGCAAAGGGCGGAAAATTGGTTTGGGCGTTACAATTTTACACGCCCTTACAGGCCGGGCGGGCAGGCACCATGGAGGAACCCGCAGGAGGAAAGCTGAGCTGGTTTGATTGGTCGAGCAAGTCAATGAAACTAGTCGTGTACAGTTTGAACCCGCCAGGAAGAGGGAACTTTCAAGAACAGAGAAGGTGTTCGGCGGTTCGTTACGGTTTATTTTGTTAAAATATGGTTAAGAGAGGCTCATCAAACGCAGGCCCGCTCGTGCCACCCCCAATCAGATCAGAACCCGCTCCCCGATCATTCGTTCCTTGTTTTGACGGTTTTCGTCACAAACGAACCCGTCCGTTAATCCGCCAGTCCGTCAGCCTGTGGAGGAAGGTGAGCTTCACGCATGCCCTGCTTCCCCGAAGGGCCTGCCAAGAGAGTGCAGTAGACGCCAGTCACGCCATCCCGCAGTTCGTTCGATTGTGCCCCGTTTTGCAGTGCGCCGCACTCGTCGCGGCTGCCCCTCCTCTCGCTCCTATTATTCACACAGCACACATCACATCTCATGTCCTCGCTCTCTCATTATAATTGCGTCTTCCTGCTGCTATCATCTCATCAGCCACACCTTTCGTTGATACCACGAGGCTTTTGCTTTCTCTTGCTCATAGCTCCACTCTCCCGATCGCAGGCTGCGTGGAACCCTAAATTATACATTCAACCTTTCACCCACACGATCTTCCAAGTCTCGCCTTTCAACCTTATTGAACGACATCTAGATTCGTTTTGCTTTGTTTATAGAAATATATTAGTGAAATGGCGAACGCAATGGCTGACTGTGAGGGCGTGCCGATAACTCTCCCCAATGCCGCCCATAGTCGACAAAAGCTTAACAACGCCTTCCATCCGCAAGTCGCGGCCAGCCCGCAAGTTATAGGTTTCACCCCGCGCTTCGAGGTCGGCGCGCAACTCGGTGAAGGCTCCTACGGCGTCGTTAACATTTGTCACGAGAAAGCCGTGTTGACACGTCAGCTGTCGCGACAGCCTAGCTACGGCACAAGCAAACTTCATCTTCATCCGGGCGCCGCCGCCGCCGTTGCCGCAGTTGACGGAACTGCCGCGGCTGCCGGAAAGGGCGCCGCGAAGGGCGCCGCAGATGGCGGCGGAGGTGGCGATAGCGACGAGGAGAACGGGGTGGAGCGACCGGAGATCGTGGCGAGCGTGGAGCGGGTTGAAGCGACCGAGGCGGCGCTTCTTGCGGCGCGAATTGCGGCGGAAGACGTGGCGGGAGACGCGGAAGGGAAACCACAACCACCACTTCCGAAGACCGCGGCGGAGCCGCCGGCCGCGGGCAAGATGTACGCGTGTAAGACGGTGGATAAGATTCTCAACGTGGAAGGCGGCGCGGCGACTCAGAAGCGGTTGTCTGCTCGCGATATAGAGGTGCGCGTTAGCGCGCTTAAGCACGAGATTAAGGTGCTCAAACACGTGGGTTATCATCCGAACATTGTGAAGGTTGTCGGAGTGTACAATAACGAGAAACGGCTGCGACTCGTTATGGAGCTGTGCGACGCGGGGGACCTGCTGGGGCTTCTAACGAATCCTCCCAAGAAGCCGCAGGCGGAAGCCAATAACGGGGGTGCGAATAATGAAGGTGATCCTAGCAAAGGAGCAGCAGGCAAAGAAGCCAAGCCTGAGCAGCCGCATGGGAAACCTTTCACAAAAATCTCGCAGTTTTTCAAAGGGCTGGCCAAGGGGACTACCGACCCGAAAGCCGCAGAAGCCGGGGCTGCTAATAACGGGGACGGCAGCAGCAGCAGCAGCAGCGGTGCACAGCCCGAAAAAGTGCTGCAAACGGGTCTGTCAGAGCGGCAGACTGCGCTGATGTTCCGACAGCTGGTAAAGGCTGTGGAGCATTGCCACTCGCGGCACGTGATTCACAGAGACATCAAACTGGAAAATGTGCTGCTGAACCACTGCTACTGCAGCAAATGCAAGCCTGCTGACTCAGGCGAAGGAGGGCAGGAGAACGGTCAACAGCAGCAGCAGCAGCAGCAGGAGCAGGAGCAGAAGAAGCAAGGGGAGCCGTCTACCTGCTCTGGTTACGTCATCAAGCTCGCGGATTTCGGGCTGGCGAAACTGCTGCAGCCGACGCAGCCCATGGCGAATGGCAACAAGGGCAGCCAGTTGTATAAAGCCCCTGAGGTGGCCCAAGGCCGGTGGTATACCACCCAGGCTGACATGTGGTCTCTCGGTGTGGTGCTGTACGCTTTGCTAAGCGCCAGATTCCCGCCGAGGGATGGGGACGGGATGGTTGCGTGGGAGGCGGTTTCGGATCATAGGTTGTTGTTTAAAGGGGGGAGCTGGAAGGAGGTGAGCGGTGAGGCGAAGGCGTTGGTGGTTGTGCTGCTGTCGTGGGATCCGAAGGGGCGGCCGGATTGCGAGCAGGTGTTTAACCACCCGTGGCTGGCGCAGCACTGCAGATGAGAAGGGAGAGGAACAAGGGGAGATTGGGGGGAGTGGGAAGGAGCAGCGGTCGGATTGTGGCGAGGTGTTCAATGACCTATGGCTGATGCAGCACTGCAGATGAAAGAGGAGAGCAAGAATGAAACGAGAATGTTGGGAAGGCAGCAACAGGTGTATGCAAGCATGTGTAGGCAGGCAGGTGTTTGACTTCATTGGCTGCAATTTCATCTCTCCTACCTTCTTCCCCTACCTTTCCCTGACACATTCTGTACTGGGGCGAGTGCTGCAAACGGCACTTCCCTTGCTGGATCGCTTGGTTTTATCTTGCATTACAAGTGCACGGCGGTAACATGTTGAATTTTCTACTACAGTGTACAACATAAAAGACCGACTTGAAGCATACAATACAATGAATAAGTCTACGATAAGTGGTCAGTGATGGAGGACAGGCCAGTGGTAACAACATGCAGCCAAGTAGGAGAAGAGCCAGCTGGGATGGGAGCAGTGAGGTGAGGAGACAGAAGGAGCATTGCATTGCATTGGCAACACACTGCAATATGAGACGCTTCTGAGGAACTCAAATTTCTCAAGGGCTGGACTGGGGCTGCTACTGTAGCTTTGCCGAAGGACCGCATATACGCCGCACAACGGTAGAGGCTTGGAGCAGATGGAAAGGACACAGATGATCAACTGGAGCCCCAGAGCGCAGTCAGCGTAGAGGGGTGGGGCTGGGGCCAGCAATTTTGAGAATCCTCAGAAACCAGCTTGGAGCAGATGGAGAGGACACGGACGGACGATCAAATAGATCCCCCGAGTGCAGGAGTCAGAGGGCTGGGGGGTGGGGGCTGGATGGGGCCAGCAATTTTGAGAGGAGAGAGCAAATCGACCATATCCTTACCTACTTTCAACTCAACTCCTTTATCCATCAAGCTTTCAAGCCGAGAGCTCTGAGGAGGTTTGGATTCAGGACAGGAACAAGCAGATGTAGCCGTCCTCGAGGAACCTGGTGTCACAGGGAACGGGATTTCCTGATTCTTGGTCTGAGAAAGAAGCTCGGAAATGAAAACCGACAATGGACGCTGTGCGGAGTACTTACGCGATCTGCGGCGCGAATGGCGGCCGCCGGCCCAGATAGTCGTAACGCGCTTCGAGTTTGCACAGCGTGCACGTGAAGATGGTTTCGAGAGATTTTTCGACGGTCACCCGGTCCACGTCGGATTCAGAAAATTCCATGGTTGCAGTACGAAGAAACGGGACCAGTCCAAAGAGACGGACCGAAAATCAAACGGAAAACAAAAGCAGCTTGGAATGACCAAACGTTCACATCGCGAGCATCGCTTTCTCCAAATCCCAATCTACGACGACCAAGCCGATCGCCATGGCGTCATTCCTCTCTCTCCTCCATCGCTCGCGTGCTTCCTTCAGCATTTCCGCTCCATACAGCAAGTCACCCGAGGCACATCAACCATTATACGCGTTTCCAGCAGAATCGGTAACACGTACTACGAAATTGCATGATTTTGCCCATGTGTAAAGTTTGTTTCGGAACTCAACTCTTGTGTACGACCATTTTGTGCATATACGCAGCTCCGCTATGGCTACTATATTTTCCACTAACTTTACTAGTTGCAACAGAAATGCGCCCCTTTGGCACGCTGGAAGTCAAGCCGTTCATCAAGTTTCCATTCACGTTGCCCAAGGCAAGGTTGACGCTATGATTGGCTAGTGTTCTGTTGACTGTCTCGTCAGCATGGCAAGCACTTTCATTTCTGCCCAATACCTCCCCAACCGTACGTAAGAGCTTTCAAGACAACCGAACCGTTTGAATCACAAGCACGAAAAACCCGCAAATTTTGGAACGACTCCCGCTGTACAAACCGAGCCGTGACGTGGCCCCGTTGAATGAACCACGGCAGCAGCCACGGCAGAGGGCCAAGCCGCGATGCCCCAGCCATGGGGCAGAACAAGCAAGGAACTCATCTGAAGTCGTGCCGCGTCTTCAATTTCTTTTCAAATTCCGCCAACAACACTCTCCTTCTCCCACCAATGCTCGTCTCACGCTTGTCATCTCCTCCCTCCATATTTTTTTCAGGAAAGAAGTTGGAAATAGCAGCTAGGTTTCCGCTCCCACGCCTTCGAGTTCTTTCTGGCTCCGAATGGCGAAACTCCTCTCGACTTCGCCGACGTGGATTCCATATCACGCCCCTCCTACTCTCATCATTCCTGCTGTTCTCAACTCGAAATAGCTTTTCGGTAGATTCTTCCCTGCTATGCAGAAACGAACACCAGAGCTCTGCTTGCGCCATTGACAGTATCAAGCGCATTTCTTGGACTTGAAGCTGTTCTGCCATACAGACTATCGCCAGCCCATCCCGTAGTGCTGGTAGATTCTACGGGAAAACAAAGGCATTGAATTTCATAATCATTGTTTCGCAATAGATGTTATATCGAACGAGTCCAGAGGCATCATCATGGCGTCACCTGGAATGATGATTGTTCGAGTTCTTCTCCTCAGCGCCACACTCCTTCCCGCGATTACCTCTGGCGATACCAACACCGTTCCTACTACTACTAGTACCCTTGGCCGTTCGAATTCGGTATCTAGTACCAGCTACGTTCAGAGGTTTTCAAGGGCCTACTCTAGTTTCCCGCGCCATAGAATCAGCAGCAGCAGAACACCTGATTCCCCTCTCGGCTCGTCACCCATCTCGACAGCTGCCACTGCAAGAACACCGAAATCAAATATAATCGGATCTCGACTCCCGCGTCGCATGGTTGGCGCCCGAATCACAATCACCGACAACCAGCAAGCAGTGAATTCTCAAGATTTCTCAGAACAAAGCACAGTGTCAGCCGGCGGTAGCAATGACCTGCCGACTCCCGAGAGTCTGCAGCATCCACAACTACTGCCTCCGCCGCTTCCACCACCGTCGAAACTGTCCGGAGGCGCTCGCAGGGGCTACGTGCCTGTTCGTCGGCAAAACCCTGCTGCGACGAGCAGTGACGACCTGCCATCTTCCAGGTTGTCTCCCCGTCCATCTATTCCGCCTCCGCCGCTTCCACCACCGCTGACGCTGTCCGGAGGCCCTCGCCGGGGTTACGTGCCTGCTCGACGGCGAACACCCAGCGGCGCCCCCCCATTGAGTATTCAGATTCGCCCAAGTGACGGCACCCACCGCCGTCAACTGCGCGGTCGCAGCAACAGGCAGGCAGAGGAGGATTATGGCGACGCTGGTGAGGCTGGCGTGACCCCCGGCGAGGCTGGCGAGACCTCTGGCGAGGATCTCAAGTCTGGCGTCGTGACTGGGGAGGATGGGCGATTCGAAACGAGCCCCGAGCTGTACTATAACGGAGGGGCTGTTATCGCGGATCCGGTGGTGTACCTCATCTACTACGGCACGTGGCCTGCGAATTCCGGCGCTGCTGTCATTGAGAATTTCGTGCAGTCGCTGGGGGGGAACGCGAGCAGGCAGGGGGGGGCGAGGGGTGAGAGCAGCGTGAGCGACTGGTGGGCGATCACCACTCATTACTACATGACACGGGCTGACCGCACGCGGACTTACGTCACTCCCAAGGTGGGTGACTTGTGGCTCTACATCATACGCCCAATGCCACCTCCTGACATTTGTGACACTTTTCCACACTCCCCTCTTAGCTCTCCCGATGAGTTTCGAGTCGACGCTGAAGTCACGTAAGAGTATTGAGTTTTGCGCCTCTACATCATACGCCTCCGGCACAGAGAATGGACGCCCAATGCCACCTCCTGACATTCTTGACACTTCTCCACACTCCATTCCTGACTCACCCCACTTCCTTCGCTTCCTTGCCTTCATTTATCCCATCGTCTCTCCAGGTGCGGTTCGGAGGGTCGGTGGTGGATCGGGGCTCAATTGGCCATTCCTTCTCCGACACAGAGATTGCCCGGAGTGAGTACCTTGCAAACCCTTACACGTCCCTCCAGTGCCTTCAGCCATCGATCTTACTGTCCAGTTGTCGATCGCAACGTGGGCAAGGCCAACCAATTGCCGTCCGATCCAAGCGGAATCTCCATCGTGATCAAGAGCGTTCCCTCAGGTCCCCACCTGCCTCCTATTCACTCTTCCTCTGGTCTTTCTGCTTCCCCTCCCCTTCCTCCCCCCCTCTCCCTCATCCAGTTGTCGATCGCAACGTGGGTAAGGCCAATAGGTTGCCGTCCGATCCAAACGGGATCTACATCGTGGTCACCAGTGCTGACGTCCCCTCCACTCCACATGCCATACCCCCTTCGCCCACCCTGCAGTTGTGGATCGCAACGTGGGCAAGGCCAATAGGTTGCCGTCCGATCCGAACGGAATCTACATCGTGGTCACCAGTGCTGACGTGGACGTGTGGGAGTTCAGCCGCTGCAGCTACTGCGGGTGGCATGCGCAGATGATGGACATGCGCACGGGCGGTCCTATAGCATATGCGTTTGTGGGGCATCACTCGCTGTGCTGCCAATATAGCGAGTAAGCACCAGCAGGGAGCAACAGTTACTGCAGCATCACCCGCGCAGCTACAGCGGGTGGCACGCTCAGATGAGGGACATGCGCACTGGCAGCCCCATAGCATATGCGTTCATGGGGCACCACTCGCTGTGCTGCCAATACAGCAAGTAAGTGTTGACAGGGAGCCTTGTAAGGAACCTTGGAATAGTACTCGAGTTCAGCAACACAACAGGCACTGCTGCAGCTACTGCGGGTGGCACGCGCAGATGACAGACATGCGCACGGGCAGCCCAATTGCGTACGCCTTTGTGGGGCATCACTCGCTCTGCTGCCAGTACAGCAAGTAAGTGTTGGCAGGGAGGAACCACACAGCCGTGTGGGAATCCAGCCACTGCAGCTGTCACTGCAGCTGTCACTGCAGCTGTCACTGCAGCTGTCACTGCAGCTACTGCGGGTGGCATGCTCAGATGACGGACATGCGCACTGGCAGCCCAATAGCGTATGCGTTCGTGGGCCACCACTCCCTCTGCTGCCAGTATAGCAAGTAAGCATGAGCAGCGAGCGAGTTCAACAACAGGTATTGCACCATCTGCTGCACCGTCAACTGCTGCAGCTACTGCAGGTGGCACGCGCAGATGACGGACACGCACTCAGGCAGCCCTGTGGCATATGCGTTCGAGGGGCACCACTCTCTGTGTATAGCAAGTAAGTCCCCTCCCCCCTGGCAGCTCTTCCCCCAACGGCCTACAGCACGGTGAGCACCATCGCCCATGAGATCACCGAGGCTGCTGACTGAAAGACCCCTCCCTCCTGCCTGCTAAACCCCCTGCCCACTATCATGTCCCCCTCCCTCCCACTCTCCCATCCCCCAACGGCCTGCCAGCCATAGACAGCATGGTGAGCACCATCGCTCACGAGATCACTGAAGCCACCACCGACCCCTCCTAACTCCTGAATCCTCCATTCACTCCCATCCCATGCCCCCTCCTCCACCCCCCTCCCAATACTGCAGCTCCTCCCCCAACGGTCTGCCAGCCATGGACAGCATGGTGAGCACCATCGCTCACGAGATCACAGAGGCCACCACCGATCCGGACATCTCTTCGGGCTGGTTCGACGCTTCTGGGCAGGAAAACTCCGACAAGTGCGGCTCCTTTTACGGGCAGCCGGAAGAAATAAAACGCGCCCGCGGGCCCAGCAGCAGTGGCAGCAGCGGCAGCAGCAGTGGTACCAGCAGCAGCAGCAGCAGAAGCAGCGGTAGCACCAGCAGCAGCAGCAGAGGTAGCAGCAGCAGCAGCAGCAGCAGCAGAGGTAGCACCACCAGCAGCAGCAGAGGTAGCACCAGCAGCAGCAGCAGCGGTAGCACCAGCAGCAGCAGCAGCGGTAGCACCAGCAGCAGCAGCAGCGGTAGCACCAGCAGCAGCAGCAGCGGTAGCACCACCACCAGCAGCAGCCGACAAAGGGGGAACACGTTTTTCAAATCCAACTTCGCAGCCCCTCAGAGCGATGAATCGCAGAGTGATGAGTATGAGTATGAGTACAATATGGTTGGTAACCACGGCATGCGTTACATGGTGGAGGGCAACTGGGATCTCCTCACAGGAACGTGCCAGATCCAAGGAAAGGCTCACGACCCTAGGTCTACCGAGCCTGAACGGCTGGCTCCGAACCAGGGCTTGCCTCCCAACCAGGGCTCGCCTCCGAACCAGGATTCAGACGGAGGATCGTCAGGAGGAAGGGGGAGAGCGTCGTTTTTAAGTGATTCCGTCACCCCAAGTCCCGCCGCCCCAATTCCCGCCACAACAAGTCCCGCCGTCCCTGGTTCTGCTGCTCCAGGCTCCAGGCTCAAGGCTGGCTCTGCTGTTCCAGGTTCGGAATATATCGTCCTCCCTCCTGGCGATGGCAACAGCATCGGATTCCTGGCCCCTCCCAGCTCTGCCGCCCCAAGCTCTGCCGCCCCAAGCTTTGCCGCTCCAAGCTCAGCCGCCCCAAGCTCTGCTGCCCCCAGTTCGGAGTACACCCCAGGTTCAGAGTATGCCCCAGGTTCGGAGTATGCCCCAGGTTCGGAGTATGCCCCAGGTTCCGAGTATGCCCCAGGTTCCGAGTACGCCCCAGGTTCGGAGTATGCCCCAGGTTCGGAGTATGCCCCAGGTTCCAAGTATGCCCCAGGTTCCGAGTATGCCCCAGGTTCGGAGTATGTCTACTATCCACCTGGATCTGAAGGCGACATTGGCTCATTGGCTTCTCCCAGCTCAGCCGCCCCTAGTTCTGCCGCCCCTAGTTCCGCCGCTCCTAGTTCCGCCGCCCCTAGTTCCGCCGCCCCTAGTTTTGCCGCCCCTAGTTCCGCCGCCCCTAGTTCTGCCGCCCCTAGTTCCGCCGCCCCTAGTTCTGCCGCTCCTAGTTCCGCCGCCCCAAGTTCCGCCGCCCCTAGTTCCGCCGCCCCTAGTTCCGCCGCCCCTAGTTCTGCCGCACCTAGTTTCGCCGCCCCTAGTTCCGCCGCTCCTAGTTTTGCTGCCCCAAGTTCCGCCGCCCCTAGTTCCACCGCCCCTAGTTCCGCCGCTCCTAGTTTTGCCGCCCCTAGTTCCGCCGCCCCTAGTTCCGCCGCCCCTAGTTCCGCCGCCCCTAGTTCCGCCGCCCCTAGTTCCGCCCCACCAAGTTCTGCTGCTCCAAGCTCTTCCCCTCCCAGCAATGCTGCCCCCAGCTCTGCTGCTCCCAGTTCAAACAGGGCACCAGGCTCGGAAGTTGCACCGGGTTCAGATGCGGCACCTGGCTCAGAAACAGCGCAAGGTTCGGAGTTGGCCCCTGGTTCGGAAGCAGCTCCTGGGTCACAAGTTGCTCCAGGTTCGGACAGTGCTCCGGGATCTTCAAATGCACCAGCCTCAGAAAATGCTCCAGGCTCTGAAGATTCTCCAGGCTCGGAAAATTCTCCAGGCTCGGAAGAAGCTCCAGGCTCGGAATATGCTCCACGCTCAGAAGATGCTCCAGGCTCGGAAGATGCTCCAGGTTCAGAAAATGCTCCAGGCTCGGAAGAAGCTCCAGGCTCAGAGAATGCTCCAGGCTCGAAAGAATCTCCAGGCTCGGAAGGATCTCCAGGTTCAGAAAATGCTCCAGGCTCAGAAGATGCTCCAGGTTCAGAAAATGCTCAAGGCTCGGAAGATGCTCCAGGCTCGGATTATGCTCCTGCTCCTGGTTCGGAGTATGCTCCTGGTTCGGAGTATATTCCACCTATTACAGACTTCCCACCTGATTTGGAGCCTGCTCCCAGCTCCGAGGATGCACCTGGTTCAGGAGATTATTCAGGTGGATCAGATTCAGGCAGTTACGCACCTGAATTCGGAGATTCTTCAGGTGGATTTGATTCTGGCAGTTACGCACCTGCATTTGGAGATTCTTCAAGTGGATCGGATTCAGGGAGCAACACACCACCAGAGTTCAAAGATTATTCAGGTGGATCAGATTCAGGTGGTTACGCACCTGAATTGATAGATTTTACGACTGGATTAGATTCAGGGAGCAACGCACCTGAATTTGGAGATTACTTAGGTGGATCGGATTTAGATAGCTACGCGCCTGGAATGGGAGACTACGCAGGTGAGAGTCATTGACATCCCAAGCAGCTGACGAGACCTGATAAGCTTCCGAAACCACTCGTTACTCAGAGGGTAAGGACTGAAATACGTCATTGCACTGAACATCTTTCAGCATTTCAGCTCCTGTATCACATGCGGTGTTGTTCTGATGTGGCTATGGATGGTGGCATATGGTTCTGCTCCTATCGAATTGCTCGCATTGTTCCTAGCTGTGGAAAGTACAGCTGTGGAAAGTACGGTTGTGGAAAGTACAGTGGGTGGGCTTGTGTGGCGGTGAACAAGGAATCCACCAGCAAGTTCAGATTTTTATTCTCTGAACCCTAACCGACGTCATAAAATATGGGGGAACACTCTGTGATGCGAAGCGTTTTGCCTAACCTAGCAGAAACAGAACTCAAGTGAGAATGACAGGTCCACATGCAAGGGGTAGGGAAAACACAAGTCAGTATTTTTAGTAGGGTCACAAATAGTTGATTAATATGTTCAGAAGAGCAGTACACGAACTCGTAGCGAGTACAATAACGGAACCAGCCAGTGTCCTAGGACGTGCGCGATTCGTGAAGTCCAGCTTCCTTCAAATCAGGGTTTCGTGACGTCGAGTTACTTTCCTCTTCACTTTCGCGTTCGCGATATTCGCCCCAAACAACCAAAGGGCGAACTTTTACGACAAACACAGCACACCCCTTCCCGAATAGTTGGTGAGGGGGGGAGCAGCAGCAATTCCCCAACAAAAGTGGCGCGAAAACGGGTTGTGTGATCTGTGGAAAATGGCACCGCCCAGGGCTCCTCCAACCAGCATCGCGTGTTGGTGGGTCAAGTGCCGAGCGTGAGGGGGAGGGGCAAGTGAAGGGAGATAGGAGCAGCAGAGCAGGGGGGGGAGCATGGCACACCAGCTGTACTGGCGCGAATTGGAGATAGGTCGAGGTGAGTCGAGCCAAGAGGCTCATGCAAGCTTGAGTTGCGCAGATTGAAGTTAGGTCAAGCGTTAGTCTGGTGTCTGGAACTACTGCCATACAATTGGGCTCTAACAACCATCTATTTTCTGCAAGAGCATCTCCCCGACTGTTTGTTCATACGCATTGTTATCCACGCATTGTTATCCACGCAACAAGGCTAGTCCAATGCACAATGGTAACATGACTAGCCTTTTCGCCATGTCTAGCTCTCTCGCGCCAGTGTCCGTCTAGCATTTTGCTCAATTCACCATTTCGCATATTCTTAATCGCGACTAACAGAAATGGCCCACAGGTTTGGCTCAAATCGTTTAGAGAGGCGAAACAGTATCGCGGACGACTCGGACCCATGCGCGGGCGACGGCAGCGGGCAGGGGCGCTACGGGCAGGGGGAAGTCGGCTGGTGCGGCTCCCTCTTTTCGCGCGCACCCAAGCGCGGCGGACCCGGGGGCCGCTTGCGCGGGTTCACATGGGATCCGTGGCGGAGTGATTCAGGGAGCGGCGGCGGCGGCGGCGGCGGCGGAAATGGCTGGGGATGGGGAAGCGGAGGCGATGGCAGCATGTCACCGCGTTCTCCGCGCACTCCGCGCTCCCCGCGAGCGCCGATAACGCCTCGCCGACGCCGGCACGATGGCAGTTACCGACCCGGCACGCCGTCCCACCATCCTGGCTCTCCTTATAAGAACGCGCCGCCGTATTTCCTCGGCGGACAGCCCCTCGCCTCAATGGCCGCCTCAGGACCGTACGATCCTACTAACGGGGGATCCCTTGACGGGAACAGTGGCGGGTTTTGGGGAGGCGGTCCGGCGCTGAGCGCGTCCAGGCGGGGGGCGCGACAGCAGGGAGGCGGCAAGGGCGGAGCAGGGGGTTTTCAGGTGATGAGCGATTGGCTGACGTGTTCGTTACAGTCCCTGCTACAATCGCGTATGGAGCAGTTGCACGCGTCGGAGCAGGTGAGCCGGCGGCAGCTGATGGCGGAAACTGCGGAGATGGTTCTCAACGTGCTCGACGCGCGTTCCTCCGACGACGCGCTCGCGCACCGCTCCGAAGTCTCCGCGCTGCGGCGCCTCCAGCGGGAGTCGTTCAGCGACCTGTTGCACCTCCGCGACCGCCTCACGCGGCTCGAGCTTCTCGCTGACGAGTTCTCCCTCGGCCAGCACCGCGTCGCGCCCGCCGCGTTCCTCGCCGCGAACTCCGGGCGCACCGAGGTTTCGGGCCGCATAACGGTCGGGTCCGCGCTCGTCCCGACGGGCGGCCTCCGCTCGCACCGCTCCCGAGCCGCGATGGAAGCGGCGGGACTGCGCTCCGGCGTGCAGATGGCTTTAAATCTCGCGTCGCTCTGCCGGTCGTCGGACCGCCTTAGTACCGTTCTAGGAGTCGGGCCGCCGGACCCGCTAGGCCCGGCATTAGCGCTAGGCGGTCCGGTGGTGCTGCAGAAGGCGGTGTATCGGGCGCAAGTGGCGGAAGGGCTGGCGGTGACCGCCGCGCCGATGGGCGCAAGCGGAGCCGACCTGGTGGGGGAAGGCTCCGCAGGGGCGGGAGTGCGCGGGGACAGCGCAACGGCTCAGGTACGCGGATCAGCGGCCAATTTCTCGTGTTTTCTCAATTACGATCATATTATTGATCTGCTGTCGTTTTCACGTGCTCCTTTATTCCTCGTTTCGCAAAAATATTCTCGTCCTTATTTCTTCCTATCCTGCTTTCTCACTACCCTTGTCTGAACCAAGCCTCTTCTATCTCCCACTTTCCCCGCACCTCCCGCTCTTCCCAATGGCTGCGTATCCGATGCAGCCACGTGGCCTCACCACGTTCAGCAGCGGCACCATCCCGCTCCTCCAATCCATCCGCGGTTCCGCGCTCGCGGTAACCGTTGACTCGCCCGTCCCCGCGCTTTCTCCCTTCCTGCCCGCGGTCTCCCGCGCGCTTTCCGCCATTCCCCGCGCACTTCCTCCATCCGTCACCCGAGCCCTGGGCCTCCGCTCCGCGCGCCACTCCCCGTACACCCCCCTCCGCTCGTCCGCCTCCCGCTCCGCTTCCGCGGATCCCCCCGCGCTGTCGTTTACCGCGGGGAAGCTAGTCACGGGCTGGGGGGTTCCGCTGGAAGACCCATCCGCGCTCGCCGCCGCCGCGGCGGACACTGCGCTCTGCACATCCGCGATGGGGCATCTTGCGCTCCGCTTCTCCCCCTCCCTGCGCGTTTCCGCCGCCGCCGCGTCGCACTCGTGGCCCGCGCCGCCCGCGCCGTCCTTCCCCGGACTGCACTGGTCGGAAATGGGCCCGCTTGTGCTTCCGCGCCTGGGGGGAGTCTTCCGCAGCCCGCACCCGCGCGGGGAGCCCGCGAGGGGGGGAATGCATGTGGCGGCGGAAGCGGGGTCGACAACAGAAGGGGGAGCCATGGGCGGAAGGTTCGGGGGAAGCGGAGCGGGCGCGGAGTCCCCGCGGAGTTGCGCCAGTGGGGGAGTGGACAGAATAGTAGTGGAAAGTATGAGGTCCGGGGGCGGGGGCGGAAGCGGGGGCGGGGGCGCGGGAAGGGGAAGCGGAGGCATGGGCGGTATAGGGGGAAGCGGAAACGCGCTAGAGGGCGCGGGTGACAGTATTGATGCCACGAGCGCATGGCTGATGGACATGGGTGACTATAACGAGAGCAGACCAGAGTCTTTTGGCGTGGCGCTGGCTTTTGAGAAGGAGTTACAGGGGGGGACGACTGTTTCCGCGTGGGCGCAGCGGTCTAGGTGGGCGGGGGAGTTCGGGGGAGTGGCGGAAGGGGGAGGGGGAAGGGGAGGCGGACGGGGGGGAGAGGAGGCGGATGATGAGGGGTTTTTGGGGAGACTGGGCGCAGATTGGCAGTGGGCGGTGGCGGTAACGGGGAGGTCAGCAGGGGAAGGGGAGGAGGGGGTGAGAGTAAGTGGCGGGGGGAAAAGGGAGAGTGGAAAAGGAGGGGGAGGGGAAGGAGGAGGGGTGAGAGCGGCGAGGGTAGTTGGGTACAGGGTGAGTGTCGGGCAGGGGGTACCAGAGGGTGGTTTACCCCCGGATTTGGTGGAGAGTAGTGAGGTGTCGATAGGGGGAGGGGGGAAGGGGGGCGGGGCGCGCAGGCTGTGGCAGGGGGAGGGGAGTGTGGTGGTGGACTGTGGAGGCGGAGTGGTGCTGGAACCGGGAGTGGTGATTGCAGGGAATAGGGAGCTGGGGGTTCATACTGCTTTTATGTTACGAACCACGCTCAACATCTAGATTGCGTTTCTAGTGCTGGAGCAGACGGATTATTCATGCTGCAAACAACAATCAGCACTAAAAAGGAGCGGAGTGTGGTGGTGGACTGTGGTGGGGGAGTGGTGCTGGAACCGGGGGTGGTGATTGCAGGGAATAGAGAGTTAGGAGTTCATACTGCCTTCATGCTGCGAACCACACTCAACATCTGATCCTTGTCTCTTGGTTCAGGGGGGAAAGGGGGAGGGGGAAGGGGGGAGGAAGGCGGGAGGGGGAAAGGGGGAGTGGGGAAAGGGGGCGGGGCGGGGGCAGCAGTCTGTGGCAGGGGGAGGGGAGTGTGGTGGATTGCGGGGAACGGGACCAGTCACACTGCCTTCACGCTTCGAACGTTTCCATGATCTGCGAGGCTGGAGAGGCGGAGAAAGTTGGGGTGGATTTGCGAAGGAGGTTCGGAAGGAGGTTCGGAAGGATGGCTGGATTGCGTGGTGTTCAACGCAGACGAACAACCGTCTGTTAGCAATGGCATTGCTGGTGCAGAGAGAACCAGCACGGCTGGCAGCTCCACTGACCACTGACTGGGGGTTGACCAGGGTTGACCAGGGTTGACCACTGGGGGCTTACTTGGGGGCTTTTAGGGAGGAATTCTTTGTTACCTGCGAGCTGTAGAGACTGTCGACACAGGAGACCGGGAGAGGGGGAGGAGCAGGGTGGGGGGGCGGTTGGGGGGGATGGGTTGGTCACTGCTGTTAGCTCAGCAGGCTGACCAACAGGCAGACAAGGTGTTCTGCCTGCCACAAGTAGGAGCAGACTCACAAGTACCGTACCAGTAGGAGCTCTCGAGAAGATGGGCTGACGTAAAGCAACCGCGGTTTGGCTTCTGGCAATCAGGAGGAGGTAGATAAGTGAGTGGAGAAGTTTTTTGGGCGGTTTTGGAAGATGATGTTGGTTGTTCAGGGGAGGGGGGAATAAAGGAAGAAACGGTGGAGTTAGGAGGGTGGCAGGATGCTGGGTAAGTGGAAAAGATGGTGTAAATTGTGAGGGCTGCTGGCACACCACTCAATCGTTAGGACCTGCTGTTACGGTACTTGTTGGTGTGAATACGGAGCATACCGTAATCACCCGGACATAACACCCGGGGGTATTATGATAACCACAGGGAAAAAATGGGGGGGGTGCTCTCAACGGAAAATCCTATATAATACCCGGGTGGTTATATATGGCACTTTTTAGTGTAAGAAAAAAGTTTAATTAGACAATTTGGGTGTTTCAATAGTCGTTTTAACATCACATGTTGAGGCGAGAATTCGCGTTTTGGCGAGAATGTGAGTTTCACCTCTCGGGCCACGTGCAGCGGAAGATTCGCCAGCGTGGCGACAGCGAAATTGTGGAAGGGAGGGAATCTCGGTAGATTCGAAGTGAAAGTGCACGCGAAATTTCATTCAGGAAGCGATATTCCCGTAAAAAATCTGACTCGATAACAGCTATAATAGGGTTTCGTAAGAAAAGGGGGGTGTTATAGAGAATCATCCCAAAAAGGGGGGTATAGTACAAACGAGGTCGGCTATAGCACCCCCCCCGCACAAGCTACCCGGGGGTGTACTATTACGGGGGGGTGTTTTGTCCGGGTGATTACGGTACTATTAAGGAGCCTTTTGAATCTTCCCGCCTCCAGAATAATTGCACTGATGGTTCTAGTAGCTGTCGAATCATGCTGATTGAATACCAAAACTCTTCTTGATGGATGGAATGGAACATTACAAAAGCATTCACTCTTCAGTCTGCTGTACCACTACTGGTACGTACTACCTAGCTGCATGTATTTACAATACCAGTAGCAGCTGCATGCATTTGTGGAGCTTCTGCAATGTTCTCCCACCACCACCACCACCACCACCTCCACCATCATCCTCTGTCTTTCATAAACTTCAACGCTGAAGTCACACCCTCCCACCAGTGACTCTCCCTGAGAGCGACCCGTCAGCACCTGAGAATCCGAGGAACAGTTCATCGTTGGTGATCCCTTGGACAGCTGCCAGCACATCCGCCACGTCAGCAGCGGAGGCCCTGACGACATTGGCCAGCGACCAGGACACAGGGGTCATGGGCACCCACGTGCCACGCAGGGCCAGGGCTGCTGAAGCAGCAGCGCTGCCGCAGGCGCTGCCCTTGAAGATGGCCTGCGAGTCCGGGGCCTTGCTCACTCCTGCTACGTACAGGTAGTATGTGAGCATGTAGTTCGAGCCACTGCATTGAGGGAAGGAAAAGGCAGCAGAGGAGTGGGAGAAAGAGGATATGATTTGAGAGAGGCCGAACTACGGTAGCATTGACAATGCTTGCTTATGGAATGAAGGAGAGCCAAAATGAGAATGAACAATTCTGGTGGAGCAGGGAACTGCTGGAAATGGGTCAACATGAGTCAACGCTAGTCAACTCACATCTTGAGGATCTGAATGTCGGCAGCGCCGGCCTGGAGAGACAGCAGGCCGTTGCATGACGTCAGCACGGCACGCAGCATGCCCGCCTGCTGGGGAAGAAGGTTCGCGAGATTCCCCACCGCGCCGCTATTGACACCACCACCGTTCAGGGCGCCATTCAGAGCGGCATTCAAGGTGTTGAGCGTTTCGGTGAGGGCGGACACGTTCCCGTTGAGCCCCGCCACGCGCTGCGTCACAGCCGCCAGGCGCTCCCTCACCGCCGCGCGGATCGCCGCGTTCCGAATCACGGGAGCCGCCCCGGCCGCTGCACTCGACATGCCCATCGAGCCTACGCGCGAGCCGACGCCCAAGCCGCCCAAGCCTGCGCCCGAGCCTGCGCCCGAGCCGATTACTCCGGCCAGGTCCTTGTTCAGAGCGGCGATGCTGGTGCTGATGGAGGAGATGTTGGATCGGATCCCGGAGATCTGGGAAATCAAATCCGTGAAGTTCAGATTCGACCCTGAGATGTTCAGCGCGTTCAGATTGACGAGGCTCCCGTTCAAAGCAGCGAGGTTGGCTTGCAACGCGGATATCTGCGCCTGGAGCGCGGCCTCAGCAGCTGACGGGCTGCTTTTAAGAGCCGCCGAGATCTGCGCGAGCAATTTCTTGAGAAGCGCGTCGAGAGACGCGACCTGGCCGCTGAGGGACGACTGGAGACCCGAGAGCGTCGAATTGAGCGCCGCTGCGGGGTTGCTGCTGGCTGCTGCGGCTGCCGCCGCGACGGCTGAATTCAAGCCGGGTGGAAGGCGGTTGGTGGGAAGATTCCCGGCGCTGGGGAGAAACCGGCCTGCTTCGACTCGTTGCGTTGCCAAAAGCACTGCGAGCATTGAAAAAGAGGGGAGATGAGTTTTGTAGGGCGATTTGCGAGTCAATGTACGGGAAGAAATCGTTTTTCACGCTTTGCGTGCGAATTCGTTAGGTTCATTGCTGACAACCACGGCTTGTAAATACGCCGGCTTGGGAAGTGGCTCACCTGTGAGGAGCAGAGCGACAAGCCCTAGCAGCGTGAGAGGAGCTCCAGCGCGTGCCATGACTGCAGAGCTTAGATGAGAAGTACGTGGAACGATTGATAAAAGAGCTAACGCGAAATATGACTGGGAACGAGAGGCGCAGTGAGCAGCGTGTGTGATAGGAATTTAGAACCGAAGGCGCCGTAGTACGTGTGTTGCAGGTAGTACAGTAGGTGGTCGTTGAAAACGGGGCTGATTTGCGATGTTGAGAGTCAAGTCGATGCCTAAATGAGTTTCTGCTGCTCCATTTATATGAGATGTTTCTGGGAGAGTTGGTGGGGTGGGGTTGGATTTGCATGAGGCAAGCAGGTGGGGTGGAATTCGAAAAATTCAGCGCGGACCGCGAATTGTGGGTCTCTGATAGGTTTATCTCTATCGTCGAGTCGCACGTGGGGTGACTAGAGAGCGGTGCTGTGGCATTGTCGGAGGCTCCTGCAGGCGAGAGAACTTGCGGTGGTGTGCCTTGGACGATAACCAAATAGAACGCATCGGTCTTTCGTTGACGGTGTGCTTCGTTTGAAGATCGAAAGCGTTGCGATTGTATTCACGTTTATATTGGAGCCTAACGTCTGTCAGGAAACGTTAGATACATAAATGATGCAGCTGCAGCTAATGCTCCCATAGAAGCACCCTGCTACGTTTTTTAGACCCGGCTCGTCATTGGCTGGTGTTGTGGAAGCTCGAAACTCTTTTCCCCATTTTCCCCCTCTTGCCATATAATGTATAGACTGTTAGAATCTAGCAGCAGGAATGAATGAACTAGCAGGATGCAGGAGTACAAGTAGTAAACCCTAATTGGGTTGTACCCCATATGGGCTACCCCACTACAGCCTAGACAATATGCAGCACATATAGTTTGACACACCCCCATAGGCAAAGTGGGGGAGAACAAGGGGTCACACGACCAGTCAAGAGAAACAAAACAAGCTCAGGGTGGATCCCAACGTCACCACACATTCTGAGCACAAGCAAAGGGCCACAAGGCCAGTTCACATGCTGAGATATACATGCGTCAATAACAGTACAGTGATGACTACCTAGCAAGAGCCAGCATGCAGGTGTATATATATAAATCACAGTACAAGCAGAGACTACAGCAAGTGCGGAAACGTAGGCACAAGGCCCAACAGAGTACAAAAGCGCTGATGATCACCAGACGGAAGTGCCTTGGTGAATATATCAGCAGTGTTGGCCCGAGTGGCCACGTGGCGAAGACGAAGCTGGCCTCGCTGCTGCAACTCTCGAGCCAGGAAGTAACGCAGAGCAATGTGCTTCGTTCTGTGCTCCAGTCTGTGCTCCTCACACAAGGCAATGGCCGCCTTGTTGTCAACGTACAGCACTGGAGGAGAACGAGGCCGCTCACCCAAGTCAGTCAGCAGGTAGGTGAGCCAGCGTAGCTCCTGTGCAGCCATGGCTGTGGCGTAGACCTCAGCCTCACAACTGGAGCTGAGAACAGAAGACGAGCGTGTAGACCGCCAAGAAACAGAGCCAGAGCCAAGGCTGAAGGTGTAACCCTGTGACGACCGCTGTGTAGTCTGGTCGTCAACCCAAGACGCGTCTGAGTGCCCAGTGAGGACCACCTCACTCCGTCCTCCAAGCACAAGCCCCATGCCCGATGTACTGCACAAGTAGCGCAGTACCCTCTTAGCAGCAGCCATGTGCTCTGGTCGGTGCCTACCAGGAGCCACGTAGCGAGCGAGAAGGCCAAGAGGGTACGCAAGGTCAGGACGAGTGCAGGTCATCAGGTACATGAGGCAGCCCACTAGCTCTGAGTAAGGACCACTCGGCTCTACGGACTCGTCCGAAGGTGGAGCTGAGAGCGAGTGACCTGTAGCCAGAGGAGTGTGCTGTGGCGAGGACCAGGTGAAGCCGAAGCGCTGAAGGACCTGCTGCACCATGTGTGACTGAGTCAGTGTGATGGTGCGACGTGCTCTGTCCCGAGTGATCTGCAAGCCAAGGTAACTGCGCAACTCACCCAGGTCTGTGCACGTGTGTCTCTTCTGCAGCTCCGACTTCACCTGAGCGAGAGCCTCAGTGTCAGCAGTGGCAAAGACCAAGTCGTCGACGTACACGAGGATGTAGAACGGTGGCAGCGAAGTGTCGGTGCACAGGAACAGCGACGGGTCAGCTGTCGAAGGAGCGAACCCAAGAGCCGCCAGTGTCGTCCTCAGTGTGTCGTGCCACTCACGTGGCGCCTGGCGGAGACCGTAGACTGGCCGGCGGAGGCTCCACTGGGTACCAGGAGGGAACGACCCAGTGAAGCCAGGTGGGCGGCGCAGCCAGATCTCCTCGTGCAGGCTGCCCTGTAAGAAAGCTGTGCTAAAGTCAAGAGAGTGAAGCTCGTAGTCACGCTGAGCGGCAACGTACAGCAGCACCCGAAGAGTAGTCATCTTCGGGGTGGGGGAGAAGGTCTGGAAGAAGTCAACTCCCTCTCGCTGACTGAAACCTCTAGCAACGTAACGAGCCTTGAAGACAGGCGGAGAACCTGGCGGCCGCTTCACCCTGAAAATCCACATGCCATCGACGATGTTCGCCCCAGGAGGGGGAACCTCATCGACGTAAGTGCCTGTGGACTTCCAGGATGCCATCTCTGCGTCCATGGCTGTCTGCCACTGAGAGGAGTACTCACCCGCGATCGCCTCAGCGTAAGAGCGCGGGGTCGGGATGTCTGGTGCATCCGGGTCTCCCTCAGGGGCAAGCAGCATGGCCACGAGATGAGGCGCAGCAGCCGCAAGACACTCAAGGTCCTCGTGCCTGTCCTCAAGGACGTCCGTGCTAAGAGCACACTCACCCCTGACGGACGGAGGACAGACAGACTCAGACTCAGCAACAAGACTGGCAGCGAAGTCTAGACGACAGGCAGCAGCAAAGTCAACAAGCTCAGCGACAAGAGCAGACGCAGCAGTAGACTCAAACGACGGGTCAGTGACAACAGTGGCTAGCAGACGCGTGACAGTAGGGTGCTCAGCACGAAACCAGTCAGACTCAGGGTCCGGAACGTCAGGCAAAGAGGACGCAGGAGGAGACGGCAGAGGAACAGGCTGCGGAGCAGAGGAAGGACGACGGACTACGAGGTGTGCGCTGGGGACAGCCGGCTGACGCGAACGAGGAACACGACGACCGGTACGACCAGGACAAATATGCGAGACAGGATGCGACGCAGGCTCACGACGCTCAGCAGGACTACCTGTCTACTCAGTGTAAGGAGAAGGAGCAGGCAGCGGTGAGCCAGGCTGTAACGGAAGACCAGTAGACGACAGGAGAGTAAGAACCTGATAAAGAACAGAGGCAGACGGCGGCAGAGACGACGGAGACGGCGGAGCGAAGAACAGTCGTGTCGGCGCAGCTGCACCAGTACCAGCAGCTCCAGCAGCTCCAGTACCTCCAGCAGCTCCAGTACCTCCAGCAGCTCCAGAAGCTCCAGTCCCAGAGCCGACACCTCCAGTCCCAGGGTCTCCAACCTCAGTGTCTCCAGCAGCAGCACCCCCAGAACCAGCACCTCCAGTCCCAGGGTCTCCAGCCTCAGTGTCTCCAACAGCAGCACCCCCAGAACCAGCACCTCCAGTCCCAGGGTCTCTAGCCGCTGTGTCTACAGCACGAGCACCTCCAGAACCAGCGACTCCAGCACCTCCAGTAGACAAAGGACCAGCACCACTCCTAGCTCCAGTGACGACAGCAGAAGTACCTCCAGCAGCAGAGCCCCGGGCTCCAGCAGCGCGACGCGGACGGCGACCGTACCAGTCCTGCAGCTGCTGTGAGGTGAGAGGCACACGTGGACGAAGGCGGCTACTCCAAGGAGACCGCGCAGCAGCAGACTCAGAACCCTCAGCGCCCGCACCCCCAACTGCTCCAGAACCTCCGGTGTCAGCACCCTCAGCGCCAGTACCTCCAGCGGCTCCAGAACCTCCAGCGCGAGTACCCTCAGCAGCTCCAGAACCTCCAGCTCCAGCGCCACCAGTACTAGGCCCTCCAGCAGCTCCCGAACCTCCAGCGCCAGCACCCTCAGTAGCTCCAGAACCTCCAGCGTCAGTACCGCCAAGCTCAGCACCCCCAGACCCCTCACACTCAGGCTCAGCACCACCAGGCTCCACACCCTCAAGCTCCGCACCCTCAGGCTCAGTACCCCCAGGCGCAGCACCCCCAGGCTCCGCACCCCCAGGCTCAGCACCCCCAGAAGTAGCACCCCGAGCAGGACCACCCTCAGTAGGACCTGAGTCACCAGTGAACTTAACCGGCACAGTCAAGGGAGGAGGGTCTACCTGAGAAACACCTGAAGGAGCAGGACCGGGAGCGAGGAGGGGGTCTACCTGGGGAGCACCTGGAGCGAGGAAGAGCGGGGGGGGGGGGGGGAGCGGGGCAGTGCGGTAGGGGAAGAGACGGTAAAAGGGAACCGACTCGTCGAACGTGACGTCCTGAGACGCAAAGACACGGCGCGAGGTGGGGTGGTAAAACTGCCAACCAGGCGCAGGGCCTGGTCCAGGAAGACACAGGGAACAGCGCGGGCGGAGAGCTTGTCCGCGGTGGTATCGCGGACAAAGGCACGAGCACCCCAGACCCGGAAACGCGACGCATCACCAACCTTCCCCGTCCACAGCAGTGTGGGCAAGGAGACACGAGGCCAGAGGTTGAGCTGATGCGCGGCGTACCGGACCGCAAACGGCCACAGAAAATGGGGGGCAGCCGCATGGATCATGGAGGTACGAGCGACCTCCATGACTAAGCCAATGCGGCGCTCAGCAACCCCATTCTGCTGTGGAGAGGCCGGAAGCGTGAACGTATGGCGGATGCCACGCACCGCACAGTAGGCTGCCAGAAGGTCGGAGGAGAACTCACCACCTCTGTCAGAGTGCTGACGCAGGACAGGAAAGTCCGACCGGAACCGCTCGCGGAGCTGGAGACGAACAGTGCGGATCCAAGGGATCAAAACATCAGGGACGTCCCCCTTGCTCTGCAAGGGGAAGACCGTGGTGTAACGCGTGTAGTCGTCGATGACCAGCAGGAAGTACCGCTCGTGACCCTGTCCACGGATGCGGGCTGGGCCCCACACGTCCAGGTGGAGAGTCTGCAGAGGAGCCTCTGTGGGAGGGAACGAGGAGTGAGGAGCGGCGCGCTGCCGCCCCTCGACGCAAGGAATGCAGGGCGGCGCAGGCGAGGGAGGGAGGGCAGGCAGAGACCTGGGAAGACCAGAGACCAGGGAGCGAGAGTGCATGCCACGAAGGCGAGGCAGGGAGGGGTGACCAAGGCGGTGGTGCCACAGGAGAGTGTCGTGCGACAGGCGACGACACTCACTCTCGGCAGCTACCTGAGTAGACACAGACGCAGACGCAGCTACCTGAGGGGACTTAGTGGTCAGTGTGTACAGACTCGAGCCAGGCGCACGGGTAAACGTGGCCAGGTGTCGGCCCGTCCGAGCACACGTATAGTGAGTCACTCGCTGACTCGCAGGAGTGAACTGGTCAACCCCCCGATCCTGGAGGTCAGCTCCACTCACCAAGTTCGTAGAGAACGAGGGGAGGTAAAGACCTGACAGCGAGCCAGACGGGGCGGCCGGACACGGCAAAACCGTGGAGTAGTGGGCAAGGACTGGACCCCCGGAGGGGTCCGCCAGGGAGACTGGAACTGGCCGACTAAGCGGCGTGAGTGTGGTGCAGTCGCGAAATTAGGGGCGGGAAGCTCCTGAGTCAAGGGTGAAGGTGTGCGAGACCGCAGTGGGCGCAGTACCAGAGAGAGCAGACTCACCAGCACCTGAAGCCACGGCCTCACCAGTACCTAGAGCAGAAGACGTACTAGCACCGAGAGCAGCAGCCTCACCAGCACCTAGAGCAGGAGACGCACTAGCACCTAGAGCAGCAGCCTCACCAGCACCGAGAGCAGCAGGCTCTATACCAGGGTCAGGCGGTACGCACAGGTAACAGGCACGGTCAGCACTAGTAGGCAATGCATACATGGCAGTGAGAATAGCATCATAGTCAAGCGCAAAGATATCTACCCTCTGTCCATGCAGCTCCAGCCAGGTGGGGAGCTCAGCCTCATCGCCAAACACTGTGTGCCAGTCATCGCTCAGACGGGCGAAGCAGCGGGACTGTGTGTGACCAAGCGTCCCACAAGGCTGACCAGTCCTAGCACCTGTGCGAATGACGTACGGGCAGCGAACTGTACGCGTAGACCTGCTACACTGAGCGTACCACTCATGGAGCTGCTGGAGCGTAAGTGTCTCGCGTGGACGCCGCTGCAGCTGCAGCTGGCCACTGCCAGACGCTCCCAACTGACCAGCTCCAGGGCGACAGCTACGACGGCTACCGCGACAACCCCAGCTAGTATACCACTCACTAAGCTGCTGGGGCGTGAGAGGCTCGCGGGAACGTCGCTGGAGCTGCATCTGGCCACTTGCCAGTAGCAGTAGCAGCAGCAGTAGCGCGGGCAGGCGTGGCAGGCAGGCAGGCAGGCAGGCAAGCAGGCAGGCAGGCAGGCCGACAGGCAGGCAGGCAAGCAGGCAGGCAGGCAGGCCGGCAGGCAGGCAGGCAGGCCGGCAGGCAGGCAAGCAGGCAGGCAGGCAGGCCGGCAGGCAGGCAGGCAGGCAGGCAGGCAGGCAGGCAGGCAAGCAGGCCGGCAGGCAGGCAGGCAGGCGCTCACCAAAGGCTGGGAGAGCAGGGCCGGCGCTCGACGGGCGGCGGCCGAGTAGGCGCACGACAGCGGCGACGTCGGGGCCGCAACACCGGCTGCAGAGCAGGGCCGAAGCAGCTGCAGGGCGGGGCCGCTTCAGCGGCAGTTGCAGGGTGGGGCCGCGTCAGCGGCAGGTCGGGGCCGTGGCAGCTGCAGGGCGGGGCCGCATCAGCGGCAGGTCGGGGCCGAGGCAGAGGGCCGCGCGCGGCTCGGCGCGGGCTGCGCTGACAGCACGCTGAGCTGCTGCAGGCCGCGCGCGGCCGCGCTAGGCAGTAGCGGGCCGCGCGCGGCTCGGCGCGGGCTGCTGCGGGCCGCGCGAGGCAGTAGCAGGCCGCGCGCGGCTCGGCGCGGGCTGCTGCGGGCCGCGCGCGGGCCTCGCGAGGCCGTAGCAGGCCGCGCGCGGCTCGACGCGGGCTGCGTGGGCTCGGCGCGGGCTGCGCGCGGCTCGGTGCGGGCTGCGCGCGGCTGCAGCGGGCTGCGCGCGGCTCGGTGCGGGCTGCGCGCGGCTGCAGCGGGCTGCGCGCGGCTGCAGCGGGCTGCGCGCGGCTCGATGTGGGCTGCGCGGGCTCGGTGCGGGCAGCGCGCGGCAGCAGCGGGCTGCACGCGGCTCGGTGTGGGCAGCGCGCGGCAGTAAGAGACCTAAACCGGGTCTGCAGGGGCTGTTCGCGGGCCTGAAGGGCGTGTAGGGGCGGCGCGCGGGCCTTACGGGCCTCTAGGGGCAGCGCGCTGGCCTAGGGCAGCAGGAGGCAGCGCTAGGGCTGCTGGACGGCGCGCGTAGTGCAGCACGTCACAAGGCAAGGCAAGGCAGGCAGGTACGTGGGGTAGCGCGGTAACCGCAACGGTAGGTGAGCCCGAAAAAAAAAAAAAAAAAACAAAAAAAAAAAAACAAAAAAAAAAACGGTCCTACGGACCTTAGTGCTCTGAAACCATGTTAGAATCTAGCAGCAGGAATGAATGAACTAGCAGGATGCAGGAGTACAAGTAGTAAACCCTAATTGGGTTGTACCCCATATGGGCTACCCCACTACAGCCTAGACAATATGCAGCACATATAGTTTGACATAGACCTTTCCCTTCTAGCCTAGAACATGCTTGAGATGTGACTAATCCCAAGAGATCTTGTAGCTCAAGCTCCATCCACTGCCGCAAATCGAAGCCTTGCTTTATCAACATACCGTACCACATGCTTGGGCTTGTGTGCTACTAATACGACACTCATGCGAATAATCAGTTGTCAAGCCCCAACCGCCGCTGCAACGCGATGAATCTTTCCCTTCTAATCTACAGGAATGTTGATGGAAAAAACGTTGTTGGCCATTTAGCTGAAGGCTTGAGAGTGATCACACGAAATCAGGCGCATCAATTTCTGTCTGCTACTTTGCTGCAGGCTTGAGCGTGATTATAAGGCATCTCGCCGGGTCAAAATCCGCCACAATATATTTTCCCTGAGTGGCTCAAGGCTGTTCCACACACTGCCTCTGGCCCCCCACTTCTACCAGCAGCTCTGCTCCACCCAGTTATTGGTGAGGAGGGAGGCAGCCTACTTTGGTTAGGGCTGCTGCTCACACAATTCTCTGGTTAGGACCTACTTTATCTTGCTGTGCATAATTTATGGAGCCTAAGAAATCTCTCCACTTTCTCAAGTGTAGTACAACTGTGGTTCTTGTAGCTTCATTGTCATTGAATAAAATCTTGCTGATGGATGGAACATTACAAAAGCCGTCTCTCTCCTACCTAGTTGCACGTATCTACAAGAGCAACTGCAAGTCTGAGTGGTGCTTTTGCAATGTTCCCCCACCACCAGATCACCACCCGTACCATCTTTCAAAGGAATCACAACTTCCCACCAATCACTCTCCCTGAGAGCGCCACGTCAGCACCGGAAAATCTGAGGAACAGGTCATCATTGGTGATCCCTTGGATCGATGCCAGCACATCCGCCACGTCAGCAGCGGACGCCCGCACGACATTGGCCAGCGACCAGGACACAGGGGTCATGGGCACCCACGTGCCAGGCAGGGCCAGGGCTGCTGAAGCAGCAGCGCTGCCGCAGGTGCTGCCCTTGAAAATGGCCTGCGAGTCCGGGGCCTTGCTCACTCCTGCTACGTACAGGTAGTATGTGAGCATGTAGTCCGAGCCACTGCATTGGGGGAAAATGGGAAGTAGCAGAGAGGAATGTAGGAGAAGAGAACATGAGTTAAGGTGGGCTGATCTAGCATTGAGAGGCCTCGAGCCAAAATGCAAGGAGAAATCCTGACAGGGAGAGAAAATTGCTGGATGGTGGGTCAAAACGAGTCAACGCGAGTCAACTTACATCTTGAGGATCTGAATGTCAGCAGCGCCGGCCTGGAGAGACAGCAGGCCGTTGCATGACGTCAGCACGGCACGCAGCATGCCCGCCTGCTGGGGCAGAAGATTCGCCACCTTCGCAACCACGCTGCCGTCCACAGCGCCGCCATTCAAAGCCCCGTTCAGAACGCTGTTCAGAGCACCATTCAAGGCTCCGTTAGTAAGGGCGCCGTTCAAGGCGTTGAGCATATCCGCGAGCGCGGACACGTTCCCGTTGAGCCCCGCCACTCGCTGCGTCACAGCCGCCAACCGCTGCCTCACCGCCGCGCGGATCGCCGTCGCGCTCCCACTCGCGGAAGCCGCCCCGGCTGCTGGACGCAACGCGCCCGCCAAGCCTGCTCCCGAGCCAACGCCCGAGCCAACGCCCGAGCCAATCATCCCGGCCAGGTCCTTGTTCAGAGCGGCGATGTCGGTGCTGATGGAGGAGATGTTGGATTGAATTCCAGAAATCTGGGAAATCAGATCCGTGAAGTTCAGATTCTTTGACCCTGAGATGTTCAGCGCGTTGAGATTGGCAAGGCTCTCGTTCAAAGCAGCGAGGTTTGCTTTTAACGCGGATATCTGCGGCTGGAGCGTGTTGTCTGCAACTGACGGGCTGTTCTTGAGAGCCACAGAGATTTGCTCGAGCGATTTCTTAAGAAGCGAGTCGAGGGATGCGATTTGGCCGTTGAGGGACGAGAGCGTCGATTTGAGCGCTGCTGCGGGGTTGCTGCTACTGGCTGCTGCAGCTGCCGCCGCGACGGCTGAATTCAAGCCGGCTGGAAGGCGGTTGGTGGATAAAGCGCCGGCGCTGGGAAGAAACCGGCCTGCTTCGGCTCGTTGCGTTGCCAAAAGCACTGCATTTATTGGAAATAACAAGGAGATACTATGAGTTTTCAAGGACGAAATGCAACTGAAAGTTCGTAACTGGCATATCCTTCAGGCGTAACGCGTAAAGAGTTGCTTGCTTTTTTGTGCGGAAATGCACGGCTTGACGAAGTGGCTCACCTGTGAGGACCAGAGCGGCAAACCCTAGTAGCATGGATGTAGCTGTGCGTGCCATGATGAGTGTCGAGCTACTACTAGTCGAGTTGAATATCGAGTGCTAACTGGTAGGAGCGCTCAGGCAGGCGTTTTCTGTTGATAAACAATATTGGAATGAAAATTGCAGTGATTTGCCGTGCGAAGAAATGAGAACAAGATTTGCAGTGTCTGAGGGATTGCGGTGTTCGAGAGGGATTGCAGTTATTACAGAGATTGCTGTGTGTTCTGAAAATGCTCAAAATGCTCCTGCTGTTCGATATATATGCGTTCCCCACCCATCGACTTTCATGAGGTCCTTCGTGTGTAGGAACTTGGAACAAGAAATTTCGGACCGCGGATTCTGCGCGTCGATTGGTCTATCTCCTTTCACCGAGTCGCACGCGGAAAGGCTGGGAGCGGTGGTGTGAAGGGGGTAGGCTGCTGAGGTTTGTCGGAGGAGAGTGGTGCGGTGCTGCTGGCGGAAGTAGCGGTTCCGTGTCGGAGCATGAATGCAGCGGAACAGAAAATGCCACCGGGATGGAGGGGTCACCGATTGTTATGAATGAACTTGTCAGAGTGCGCAGATATCGAATAACGAGAATGAAGAATTACAGAATGACTGAACAATGAAGTAGCGAGGCCTAAATAGGGGAAATCCTAGCTAGGCGGGGATGGTGTGGTAGGGTTGGTTCGCAAAGTGTCGCGATTGGTGCGGAGGCGGCTCGGTGAGGTTGGGATGCGAAATTGTAGGCCGAACCGGAGGGTCGCGTGGCCCTCGGGATGGCCTCGCTATCGAGCGCCTCAGTAAGGATTTGTAAATCCTTACACCGATAATGCCTTCGATTGAAGCTCATGAGCTTGTTAACTGTACAATTTGAGCGGTACAACCATATTCTATATTGGATGTCACACATGCTTTTTAGGGACAAGGGCCATACTCACCTCTACACACAGGAACGTCTATTGGGATACCATGGCTTAGAGAGATTATATTACTCATTAGAAATCACATGTACAAAGTCAAAATATCGCCTTACAGGCTAAGAAAACTACACACTGCAAAACGTGGGAGCCCTACATCCACCACCAGGCTTATTTAGCAAGAGGTAGAAATATGCAGCAGAATCGCGATCAGCTGCTTCTGGCTGGCCCTCATCAGAATGGAGAATACGGTACCAACTCCACACAATGCATGCTCCAAAGCAAGTCCCTGTAATCCACCCAGATGCAGCCGCTACTATACAACCATCCTTCTGAACCGGTCTCTCTCTCCGCACACACAGCCGCCATGTAACAATACGTACGCACCCACCCTCCAAACCCTAAAACACACTAAAATCTGCCAGTTACACACTTGAAATGTTTAGGGCGCCCTCTGAAGACTCGGGCTGTTAACTTTCTCAGCAAACACAACGGCGGCGGCATTGACCTCTGCTGCCCTCCGCGTCACAACCGCCATTTGCCGCAACAACAGCTGCCTCACCAACTCGGCGCGCACGCCAGCTCCTGCGCTTGTCCGAACTGTTTCGCGGGCAGAAGGCCCCGCGCGTCGACCTTGCAAGTTGCCTATACCCGCTGTCAGTCTCAGATCCCTATTTAAAGCGCTGATACTCGACTGCAAACCCGAAACGCTGGATTTTAGCATCCAAAGCTGCGAGGTTAGCGCCGACGGCGCCGCTGCTGCTGCCTTCTCTGAACGCGCATGGCCTGTTGTCGCAGACGATGTGAAGTTGATGCTATCGAGCCACTTGGAGAAATCAGCGAGGCTGGCTTCAAACGAGGATACGTGGTCTTGAATGGCCGCCGTGGTAGCGGATGTGCTGCTGTTGATGCTCTTTTCGAGGTTTGCAACTTGCTTCGTGATGTATGCGTCGAAAGAGGAAACGGATGTGTTGAGATTCGCGGTGAGTCTCTTGGCGGCTGCTTCGGTGGCGTTGGCTGCTGCAGCGGCTTTGGCTTCGGCGGCTTTTGCTGCTGCTAGTGCGCCTGCCTTGACTTTGTTGCAAAAGTCGTCGGTGGGAAGAAAATAGCAAAAAGCCTCGCTTTTTGACACTAAGTACGCTGCAGTGAATCGAGAAACCAGGCAAACAACGAAGGGAAATATTTGTCGGGATAATACGATAGAAGATAGTTCCAAGGAAGGAAAGCAGCGGCAAAAGCGGCGGCAGTTGCGCCTGGGTCAGGGTTCCAAGGGATCTCACCTGTGACGAGGAGTGCGATGAGGGTTAACGATGCGGGGGATGTTTTACGCGCCATTTCCGGACTTGCGCGGTGCGCATGACTCAACGGATATCGTACGGATACGGTAGTTATGAAACGAGCTAGTTACTGAGGTACGCAAGACTAGACAGGCGCCTCGCCTGAAGTTACAAAGAATGGGAGCGCAGGGACGAGGAAGGAGTTTGAACCAGAAACTACCTGGTGCGTGATGAAACAAGGGACTATTGAAGTGCAGATCGATATGAAGAGGTTGTGGGGGTTTGGGTTGGTTAGATTCTGGTTCAGGAACAATGTCGGCGCTACACAACAAACACTGAAGGGTTCTGTACTGTACCGTACCCTGCGGTGGTCCTTGTTATGTGACGTGTCAGTACAGTTTCAACTCTGCTCCCCCAGCCAACACACACACGGACAATTTTACATAATGTGGCGGCGATGTTCAAAAAGGGGCACTTCGACTTAATGTACACCTTCTCATAGGGAACTCCAGAGCAATTTGTAAGCATTTTGCTGCATTCATTTTGAATCAACAGTAAAACCCTCTATCTCAAATGTCATTGGCAAGAGGTCCCCAATCTATATACTCCTAGTCTTCCGCCTACACACTTATAGCGCTCTGGTTGGAACATGACAGATGCATCACCTCATGACATGTTACCAAAGAGATGAAGCATCTAAAATGTTCCTACCATTGCCCAACCTTCACAACTTTCCCCCAATCATCTTCCCTGATAGTGCTCCATCAGCCCCAAAGAACCCCACATAAAGCCTGTCATTGGTGACCGTCTGAAGAGATGCCAACAGATCCGCCACGTCAGCAGCTGACGCCCTCACAACATTCGTCAGCGACCAGGTCACAGGGCTCATAGGCACCCACGTGCCAGGGAGGGTGATGGGTACAGTGGTGACAGAGTTGCACGGGTTGCCCTTGAAAATGGCCTGAGAGTCTGGGGCCTTGGTAACTCCTGCTACGTAGAAGTAGTATGTGATCATGTAGTCCGAGCCGCTGCATGGGAGGAGTTCACAGGCAACCGAGAGGTAAGGGAGAAATTAGATAGTGCGGTTTTGAACCAGCATTGACAGCACAGACTAAAGGAAGCGACGGGAAATCGAAGAGCGGGAGAAAGCCTGGTAGGGAGAGGGAAATGTTGGATGATGGGGTCAACGAGTCAACACGAGTTCCTCGCGAGTCAACTCACATCTTGAGGATCTGGATGTCAGCAGCGCCGGCTTGGAGAGACAGCAGGCCGTTGCATGACGTCAGCACGGCACGCAGAATGCCCGCCTGCTGGGGCAGAAGATTCGCGAGTTTCCCCACCACGCTGCCATCCACACCGCCACCGTTGAGGACCCCGTTCACGCCGTTAGCAACCCCGCTGGCAACAACGTTCACCATCCCCGCGAGCGCGTTGACGTTCCCGTTGATCCCGGCAAGGCGCTGCGTCAGATCAGCCATCTGCCCCGCCAACTCGGCGGCGCGCGCGCCGGACGCCGCGCTTGGCGAAGCCCTTTTGACGGAAGCTTCCACCGCTGGGAGGGGTAGCGCTCTCGCCACTGGCGCCCAATCCGCCGCCCCCGACCCCGTTACCGCGAAGCCCACGAGGTCCTTCGCGAGCGTGTCGATGCTCGTCTTCAAGCCGTCGGCCGACAGCTTCGAGTCGAGCGTCGAAAGCTGAGACTTCAACGCCGTCAGCAGCGGCGCTAATGTTGGTGACGCCGTCACCTCATCTGAAGTGATATTCGCTTTGGCGAACGTGAAGTTGAGGTGCGCGAGGCTGTCGCTAAGCGCGGCAAGGCTGGCGTTTAACGCGGATACCTGCGCCTGCAGCGCGGCCTCGAGGCTGGACGCGCTGCTGTTGAGAGAAGACACGAGGCTGGAGATAGAGGCATTGAGGGACGACACGAAGTCGGAAATGCTCGAGTTGAGGGATGCGGGGCTGGCGTTTATGTTTGCGGCTGCTGCGGCGGCTGATTTTGTTGCGGCCGCGGCAGCTGCTGAGGCCGCGGCGGCTGCTTTGGCGGCTACTTCGGATGGCTTGAGGTTGGTCGGAAGGCGGTTGGCGGGAAGAAATGTTGCGTCTATTCCTTGAGCAAGAATCACTGCATTACCAGAAAAAATCAGGGAAAGGATAACGAAGATAAGCGAAAGGGAAATATGTAGCTGCAGGCATGCAAAGCGGCTAAGCGAATCAGTATAAGTGGAAGTATCAACGATTCGCACCTGTGACGAGGATTGCTATGAGGGTTACAGCAGGAGCTGCACTGCGAGCCATGATTTCCCGAGTAGAGAGATGCGATGCGATGCGACAGCTGCGAGCGAGCTAACGCAGACCTCCAAGAAGCTGATGTGTAAGAGAATGCTGGCTTGCGGGAGCACTGAAGGTCGAGCAGAGAGCTGGATGGAGTGCGTTTGTCAAGTTCAGTTGTTGATGTTGGAGCTGAATTTATATGTTCGATCGAGGGGCTGGCAGCTGGCTTGCTTGGCTTGACAACCAGTATGGGAAGGGGATTTCCGGTGCGAACCGCGGATTTACAGCCGAGGTGCACGCGGAGTTTTTTGCCGACTTGAGAAGAGGTGGTGACGACGGAGCGTGAACGGCGCTAACTGGAAAAGTTTCCACCGAAAGGAGAAATCTGATAGGGCTAGACGGTGCTTCGATTGAATCATGACACTCCTGATTCTACAATGAATCTTACAAAATCTTACAAAATGTGTTTAAATATTGACTCAAGTGATTAATCCATGTAAAAATAAGTTACGTTTTTGGTTTCCAGATTATAATTATCGTCTTTTGTACCAAGGGGAAGTCACTCAAAATATCATGCTAGCATTAGGACATAGCACTGAGAGAAAGCCTACGGAGATAATCCTGGCTAAAATATACATACTTACACTACCTACAAAAACAGGGTGTCAGACCTAGCTAGTTGTTCAACCATGCCTGCTCCAGCTGCTTGTGCACGGAAGCGCCAAAGCACTTGGCTCTTGTAATGGAAAACCGTGTCGCTGATAGTGATGAAGCCGCGGAGCAACGTGTCGTCTTCAGTATATAGCAGGCATGCCGGTGGCTGGCTCTTCCCAACACCACCAACCCCCACACGTTCGTCTGGCAAGGATTAGACGGAGGTGCCACCTCATCTAGCTCTCCGGACAATTCCTGACCGTATCTCTTGGAAAGATCGCTCTCATCGAGCCGATGAACCAAAATGAGACCATCTGGATCGTCGTTCTGGACTGCTTGTCTTACGGACGACCAGCTGTCAGCGTGATCTAGAATGCCCTGTGGTAGCCGCTGTCTAACGGGAGATCGGAAGCCACGGACGCCATCGAATATGAGATGGAAAAAAGGAGCCTCGTCGAGATGTCGAATAATCTGAAAAAAGAACAGAAAACAATCGCGAAGTTTAGATTCAGATTCCAAAGCTTCATGTGAAATTCCAACATATGCTGTAGATGTAGTGAAGACACATTCGTTTAGACGAAACAGGAAGGAGAACATGGTTCACGCGAAGCTTACATCGGCAGCGGAATGTTGAAGCCACGATTCAATCTTCTGTTGCGTAACAGCTGGGGACACCATGGAAGGTTCACTCCAACTCTCGACTTGATCCGAACCGTTGGAGCTCTGGTACGCCAATACGGACGCGCTTTCCATTCGCACTGCTGGTTGCTTCCTACCACTTGACTGAGACTTTAATCCAGGCGGAAGCGAACATTTCTTAGGTTGAAGGGACACCTGTGAGAGATTGCGAGATCTCGATGATGAGATTTTGCCTCCGACTACGAACGAGGATTGAGGTAGGGTAGCGGTGGCGGCCATGGCTATCTGTTCTGATCACCTAATATTATGAGACTTGGTCAGTGGAGCGAAGTAATCGTGACTGAATAAGCAGACGATGTCTAATAATCTTGGGGATGATGAGAAGTACGAAGGACAACCTCTTATCTATGAAACGATGACTGTAGCCTGAAGAATGAAATAGTGTTCCTGCAAACCCTAGGAGCCTGGCCATACCTCTCAACCCTCCAAGCTCCATTGCTTCCTGCTGCGGCGGAATGGCCTCAGCGCTGGGACCACACAGGGGAAAAGCAGCCATGAAGCAAAACGTTTCAGCAAGCTGCACAGGTCGAGGAGGCAGAAAGGCATTCTCCAGAAACACGTTTAGGGCACACCTTGAAGGTGTGTTTGAGGGGGAAGGAGCAGGCTCAAGGCATGGTTCCCGCCAAGGAGAATATTTCCCAGCGAGTTACAGCGAGCCAGATCAGCCTATGTTTGCTGAGGTGTCGCGGACTACAACGCCAGACCACGTGCCCTGGAGGTAGAGCTAGTGTTCGGCACGAGCACATCGCGAGTCGAGGTAGAGATTTTTGCGCGTGTGGCGGAGTGGAAGGCCGTCGGCGGATATCCGTAGCGGACTGTGAGTAGTTGGAGAGGGGAAACATTTCGGTTGGTGGCGGATGCGGGGATTGGTTCCCTCTCCCCCTCGACCCCCTCCCTCGAGAGAAGAGCGGTTGGCTTCATTGCCTACGTTGGCAAAGCGAAACGTCACCAGCGGTGCACCGATGATTCGCTTCGTGGAAAGTCCGGCGATATCGAAAACTTCATCGTGGTGGGTGGACACGTCCGTGGAACGCTGTGGATGTGATTGGCCGACGTGGACATCACTGGATTGACAGCGTAGCGACGCATCTGGACGTCATTCGTTCGAGCACCCCAAGAGTCCACGCGGCGACCTGTAAACGGCAGATTCAATTGGGCAGTTGGACCACCCCCAAAAACCAGCGCACCTCCCTGAACTACGGAAGCCACCGCTGATTGGTATCACCGCCACGACTTCCAGCATGACGGTGATGCGTGAGTGTTGAACTACTGGTTAGGGCGCGTGTCTTTTGGTGTAGACGTTCGGATTTTAGGTTGAACTTTTGCTGGTTACCTTATTCATTGATTTCTTGAAATCCTTCGCATGGACGTCGTGTGTCCATGTACACTCTCGGCATCGAATAGCGTTCAACTCCTAAGTTGAACTCTCGTCAACAAACATGTTGGCACGAAAGTGCAAGCGTGTGTGCAACTCACCACTGACAGCGGCAATGCGAAGTCTGCGACGCTCGCAGCTAACTTCGTGCGCACGAGGGTGCTCGTCGGGGGGGCCTTACGTGGCGCGCCGTCAAGAGGCTAAACCGGGTAACCTACGAATGTAGGTCGCGGCTCGGCTGGGCTGCAAAAGTTCAACTTCGATAGATGAACTTTTGTGTGTCTCGTGATTCTCGGGAGTGATGGAACCGCGACTCGGTTTGCAGGTGTTGGAAACTCGAGCCTAGGTAGACCTGGGTTCAAATGTGTACAGTTCAACTCAAAATCCAAGTTTTGCATATAAAAACCAAAAGACACGCGCCCTTAGAAGAAAACCGTTATGTACATCGCAATTCTCATACACAACAGGCACGAAGTAATTTGCAACAGCCAATATCACCATGGAAAATGCTGAACTTTTGGTAGCAATACTTCCCAACTTCATGGGATAATACAATGCTCCAGAAAGAGATAATACAATGCAGTTGCTTCGCTTGTTAGTGGGGTCTCAAACTAGGGCTTGGGAGCTGAGACAAACACAAAGAAATCAGTACATGCACGAATAAATGGATGAAAATTACAAGGAAATTACATACTGGGGATGCAGTTGATGGTTACTCAACGCAGAGCACATTCCTACCTTGATTGCACGATGTCGACCAGCAGAATTCCTTCAGAATTGTAACCTTTGGAATCCAAAATCATGCAATGTGTTGCCTGTGAAGAGGATCTTCTGACCCTAAACGAAAAATCGACATCAAAGACACAAAGGAAAAGGAAAACAGGATTGTGGTGATGGAAAGCAGGGAGGGGAATGGTGGGGATGGGCGATGAAATCATGAAGCATACACTATATATTTTAGCTTGGAAAGGTAGACCAGGCAGATGGAGGGAGAAGGATGGAGGGATGGATCATGGAAGAACTACATTTGCAAACAGGAGGGTGGCGGACAGGGGAGATCGATAGATGGGGCAAGTGGGAAAAACCATTGTGGAGGGGGAACAGGACGAAGAGGGAGGGAGAACAAATGATTGTGCCAGAGCAGAATGTTTGCATGAGCAGCACCATTCTCACTTCCAAACACCACATGTGGGAGATTATTCCACAACTGCAACCTGCAGTCAAAAGCCCATACCTTATCGTCTGAGGCCTTTCCATGAGAGACATTCTGGGATACGAATCATGGCAACCCATAAATAGAACCCATACCTAGTCATTCCAGGCCTCTCCATCAAAGTCATTTTTGAATGCATCGTTCCAAGCATCCTCAAACATCTCGTCCTCCTCTCCCTCCTCGTCCTGGTGATCTCTACAAACACCTGTATCCTCGTTATCCTCGTCATCCCCCTCATCCTCAATACCGTCTTCCTCCTCAACCTTGTCCCATTCCAGATCAAATCCCTCCTCACAACCCTCCGCCGGTCCCCCATCAGCGATCCTCTCTCGGGCATCCCAGAACTCCTCTTCACCCCCTTCGCGAGTGACGACAGACCCTGGAACTCCCCCTCCCCTCCCCCCCTGCCACTCCTCTTCATCCCCTTCACGAGTGGTGACAATCCCTGGGACTCCCCCTCCCCTCCCCCCCTGCTCCTCCCCCTCAGCCCCTTCACGAGCGGCGACAACCCCTGAGTCTCCCCCTCCCCTTCCCCCCTGCTCCTCCTCATCACGATTCTCCACTCGGGCAGTTTCCCCTGGCCGGGCAGCAACCAGAATCTCTCGAGGCGCAGCAGTAACTGAAGCCGAAATATCTCGAGGTGGTGCGGAGGGAATGCGTCGGGGAGCAAGCAGCTTGCGGCCGTACTTAAGCATTGTTGCCTGGGCGTGCTGAGCAGCTTGGAGAGACCAAGCTTGCAGCTTGCGCGCCTGTGAAAGCACATAGTGCCGCGTGCTGGTGGGGAGGGATGGTGCGGAGGGAAAAGGGGCAAGAAAGACACGGAGATGCTAAAAAGTCGCGCGGTCGTCGCACATGGTTCTGCCATATGGTCATTCTACCACAACAGGAATCTAACAGACGGATAAAATTCTCACTTGAGTCGCAGAATGAAGAGCTATCACCTGAGCAAGTGAACCGGCGCCCATTGGCAGCAGCACCGAGGAGAGCGAGAGCGGACAGGAGAAAGAGGGCAAGAGTTGGCGCGAGAGTGTGAGAGAGGAGGAGGGAGAGGGAGAGGGAGAGGGAGAGGGAGAGGGAGAGGGAGACGGAGAGGAAGAGGGAGAGCGAACACGAGAAATAGGGGGAGAGCGAGAGACATGGGGAGAGAGCGGGAGAAGGAGACAAATACATCATAAAAAAGGCATACACATCTTCAACGAGGCTCAACGCAGCAAAATCGACTCAAGGCCATCACCTGAGGCGGTTTCTGTTAGCAGCAGCTCAAAGGAGAGTGAGAGTGAAAAAAAGGAAGAGTGAGGGAAAGCGAAGGAGAGAGTCGGGCAGAGAGAGGGAGAGGGCACCTGAGGTGGTGCCTGTTAGCGGCAGCTACGAAGGAAAGTGATAATGATAGTGATAGTTAGAGTGAGAATGAGAGCGGGGGAGAGGGAGAGAGAGAATGATTGAGGGAGATGGCACCTGAGGCGGTGTCTGTTAGCCGCAGCTACGAAGGAGCCTACGCCCTTGAAGATCCACATGATGGCTCGGAACAACTGTGGAGAAGGGAGATGGAGGGAGAGGGAGACCGAGGAAGAGCAAGGCGGAAATAGAGAAAGAAAGAAAGAAAGTGGGAGAGTCTGAAGGCATACAGATTTAGCACTGGTACAATGCTGTTAGTGGCACATGCCTATTTCCAGCTTAACAGGCTGAAAAAACCGTTCAAACTCCCTACACATCCCTCTGGGCTCCTAGCCCTCCCTAAACCGTAACCATAGTAGCCTAGTAGCCTGTATGTATCCATGACCATGACTGAAAATCAATCCAACTGAGTGAGTCTTTTTCAGTGTCTCTGTTAATCCCACCTTCTGGAAGAAATTATGCCACATCTGCAGCAGGGAAGAGCTGTTCTTTGAGAATTTGAAGAGGGACAATTGCAACAACTTTGATCTCAACGCCTCTGTTAATCCCACCTTCTGGAAGAGGTTATGCCACATCTGCAGTAGGGAGGAGGGCGGCGACCGAGCCACCGCCGAACCTGCAGCTGCGGAAACCTGCCCGACTGCCGAACCTGCAGCAGAGATCTGCTGCCCCACAGCCTTGGTTGCCGAGCCTAGCTTCCGAGCCCCACCGACCAATCGCAGCGAAGAGGTAACAGCCTTGGAGATATAGGAGAAGCTATTCGCCACGGATTTATAGCCGTAAGCGAAGGTAAAAGAGACGGCTTTTATGGAGTATGTAATTGGTTGCACGAGGGTTTTAGAGAGGTATAGAAGGTGAAGAGAAAGGGTGTTGGAGAGGTGTGTGAGGTGAAGGGAGAGGGCTTTGAGGGAGGAGGCGAGGGAGAGGGAGAAGGAGTGGGAGAATGAGTGAGAAAAGGTGGAGTAGAGGAAGGAGGAGAGTTGCAGCAGCAGGCGGAGCAGCTGTAAGGGGAGCTTGAGGAGAGAGAGGAGGGCGGAGAGGAGAGGCGTGAGGAGGAGATGGATGAAGTGGAACAGTGGCAGGATGATGGCTCGACCTGATAAAGGGTGGGGAAATATCGGGGGGGAGATGGAGGGAAAGATGAGGATGTGAGAATGAGTAGCGGAAGAATAGATGACACTTGAGCATGGTAGGAAGGAGATAGGTGAAACAATGGTGGGCGAAACCCTGTGAATGAAACACGGTGAACAGTGCACAAATCAGGGCGCATGAAACATTGTGCATTGAATTATGGTGCATGAAATACAACAACGAAACACGCCACAACTCAACTCACCCGCTCCACACGCACCTGTGCCCCACACTCCTCTGAGACATGATGCGACTCATCCACAGCCCAAAGGGTACAAGCACGGGCAGAAACGGTTGAACAAGCACTCCATCCAACCTAATCTCAAGGTGCTTTAAAACGATCTCCATTATGAGACATGGTGTGACTCACCTGTGGCCCGCACTCATCCATCAGACTTGGTGCGACTCACCTATAGCACACTCACTTATCAGGTGCGACTCACCTACAGCCCAGAGGGTACGGGCAAGGAGCAGAAGCGGTTGAACAAGCACCCCGAGCAGCCGGCCCAGCAGCGCAGCCCTCGAATACAGAAACGACAGCTGAGCCGACAGCAGCTGAGACACTCTCCACATGCTGCTGCTGCATGCTTGTGAGAGGAACCGATACAGCAGCAGGCCGTTGCTGTAGAGGAAGGACAAGTGAGAAGTGACTAGTGAAGACAGCAGCTGTGCGAGCTTCAGCACAGAGCAGCTGTAGGCCTGTGAGAGGAGCCGATACAGCAGTAGACAGCCATTAGAGATGGTTACTCCAGTGGCGCATACAGCCAAGTAGCATGCATGCAGTAATTGCCACACAGGGACGAGAGTGTGCCGCCCCAGCAGTATCAGGGGGCGCATGGTGTAGCTCAGTAACCGCCCGCTGCTGGTAACCAGCTTTCCGAGGGCGGATACGAGGTTCCATGCGGTGGAGAGGAGTTTGGAGAGGCAGAGGAGGAATGCATGAGAGAGGAGCGAGCAGGGGTGCTGAAAGGGGCGGAGGAGGAGAGAGAGGAGGTAGGAGAGGAGGGAAAGAGCGTGAGAGATGACTTTCCAGGCAGAGGACAGCCACTTGAATGCTCGCTCCCAGTTCTGGAGGAAGAGAATCGTTCCCAGGTATCTTAGCCTCGTTCCCATGTCCCATGTGCCTACGACAGACCATATCGGCCCCAGCATCCGCGCCAGCATTTCTTGTAGCACCGGGATGTTCTTATACAGGTCGTAGAATCCGATGAGCACTGTAACGAGGGAGACTATAAAGCACGCGTACGCGACGAGCGGGCGCATCCAGGAGCGGTAGAGGGCCGAGAGGCCGGCAGTGGATTGGAGGAAAACGGCCCACGCGGGCAGGCCGGATTCCAATTGGTGCAGCAGTCGCTGGTCGGTGGTGATGACGTCAGCGAGGGCGGCCGGGAGGTGCGGGTGGGTGAAGCGGAAGAGGAGGAGGGTGTCTGGGTAGGTGATGGTGGTGGGAGGGGCGCGGGGTGCTGGGAGGAGGGGTTTGGGAGAGGAGAGGAGGATGGCGGGGTAGGTGAGGTGGGTGGGGGGGGTGCGGGTTTGGTGGGGGGATGGGAGGTGGGGTCTGGGGGAGGTGAGGAGGGTGGAGGGGTGAGGGTGGGTGGGGAGGGTGCGGGAAGGAGAGGTGAAGTGTTGCCATTCGTGTTGGTGCTGTTGGTGTTGGTGTTGTTGGTGGTGGTGTTGGTGGTGTTGGTGCTGGTGGTGCTGGTGGTGCTGGTGGTGTTGGTGTTGTCCGGCAGAGGAGGAGGTGGAGCAGTAGCTTCTGCTGTCGGTCTCAGTGTCACCGTCACCATCGTCAGAGCAATAGCCGTGGCTATCACCCTCAGTGTCCCCATCATCATCACCATCATCAGCATCAGCATCAGAGCAGCAGCTGCTGCTGTCCATCACATCATCAGAACTACCCCCACCACCACTACTGCCACGACTGCCACCACCGCCACTACTGCAACTGCCGCAGCTGTCATCAAAAGATTCACCCGTCTCATCTGCCTCCTCCTCGTCCTCGTTCTCCTCTTCATGTTGGCATGCTTCTCCACACACGTCATGATCAAAATCCACACTGCCACCAGCACCATCATCACCACACACATCCCCGTCCTCGCTCCGGCAGCAGCTGGTGCTCACAAAGAGGCGGCGAGGAATGAGAACACTGGGAAACAGCTCTCGCGCCACCCTGCCATGTGCTGTCGCTGCTGACTCTGCTTCTGCTGACTCTGCTTCTGCTTCCATTTCATGAAACACGCTCGACGCTTCCCCATCTACACCCCTGCCATCATGTACATTCTGAGCTGATTCCGCCTCCACCTCCTCCCAGGCCTCTGCTTCCGTCTCTTCATACACGCTCGATACTACCTCATCCGGGCCCGCTTCATCATGTGCACTAAATGCTACTCCGTCTGCTTCCATCTCTCCTCCCGTCTCCTCATACCCGCTCAATACTATCTCATCCTGGTCCACGTCATCATAAACACTCGATGCCATCTCATCTGCTTCCACGTCATCATGTACACTGGATGCTACCACATCTGCTTCCACCTCTCCATATATTCTAGATACCATCTCAGTTGCATCTATGTCATCATGTACACTGGGTTGCGACTTTGCCTCCACCTCCTCCCAGCTTTCTGGGTTATGACGTGGTTCTGCATCGGTATAATCACACGCACTCGATTCCACCCCATCTGCTTCCACATCATCATGTACACTGCACAGTGCTTCCACATCATCATGTACACTGCACAGTGCTTCCACATCATCATGTATGGTGGATCGACTCCCGCTGTACAAAGGTGACTCATGTTCCCAGCAGGATACATAGCTGGGTTCCACACTGATAAAGGACTCCCTCTCCTCTGCCGCACCACCAATCCCATTCTCTAACAGCCAAGTAGGCTCGTTTCCCTTTGGCATTCTCTCCTTTGCCGCATCACCACCATCCGTCCCCACCTGGTTTCCGCTTCCCCCGCAGCACACACCACCCTCTGGTGGAGTTTGGGTGGCAAATTCGGCGTCTAGCAAGCCTGCCTCACTGCACCCCTCTGAAAACCTCTCACTGGAGTCACTCATCCATGCGTGCAGATCCGAACTGGACTGGCTTGTGCCTGCCTGCTGCCGTTGCTGCTGCTGCTGCTGCTGCTGCTGCTGCTGCTGCTGTTGGTGTGGAGGGCTGCACAACTGGGAGCATACAGGAGACAAGGAAGGGAAAAGGGAGAATAACGAAGAATGGGGAAGGGTATCTGAAACAGGAAGGGAGGGTCTAGGGGACGAGGAAGGGAGAGGGAGGGAGAGAGAAGGAATCAAGGGAGTGAGTGTGAGGGCATGATAAGGCCGTTACCTCTCAGGGAAGGGACCCAGCTTGTTTAACGCACCTGCGAGTCTGACAGCCTGCTTCGTGTGCTTTGAAACGCCAGCAGCTCCTCTCTTGTTCCAGCATCACCATCACCATCACCATGAGCAACAGTAGCATCAGCACCAGCAGTATCAGCGGTAGGGTGCAGTCTGAAAGGTTCTGGAGAGCAGGGCGGGGTCTGCGGATCGTGAAAGAGCGCTTTTCTGGCTGGCTTTTGAGCGCTCCCAAAAGCTTCTCTAGGACTGCCAAAGGGACTGCCAATGCACATCTGACCTTGCCTGTTCCACAAGCCAGAAGCAGCAGCACGAGCATCAGCAAAACGGGCAGAATCACCAGCATCAGCAACAGCAGCAGCCGCAGCAGCAGCAGCTAGTCTGCTGCTTCCAGCGAAACTGCTTGCAGGGGTGCTGTACACTGCTCCAAAACTCCCAGCAGCAGCACCGCCGCCACCGGTAGCAGCACCACCACCAGCAGCACCAGTCCCAAGAGGAGACTTCGGCCCTACTCTATTTACTCTGCACGTCCTCCCCCCCATCCAGGGAGCAGCAGGGACACGCGGACTGGCAGCAGGCACAGAGGAGTGAGAATGGTTGGCCCCGTGTAGGGGCGTGGTTTCATGCAAAGGCATGGGTCCATGGGAGGGCGTGGTGGGGTAGAGGCGCAGAGCATGTGCGTGCACCGCCTGGTCAAACGAGTCAAACTCGCGCTTCACCACTCGCGTCACCTCCATCGCCAGATTCGCTTCCGCCTGGCGGATGGAAAGGGGCGAGAAAGGTTGTTGTGGGGGTGTGAGGGGCGTGTGCGGAAAGAGAGAAGCAAAAGGGCAACCCTGCGCTAAGTTTGGGTTGAGCCAAGGCTGGTCGACGGCATGACTAATGCTGGCCTAAGGCGGGCGTGCCAGACGCTTGGATGGCCTTGCCTGGCAAAAGTCGGAGTAACCAAGCAGAACCGGGTTCGTTCTCACACCTGCAGCAACGCACCTGCAGTTCATTCTCGTATCGGAGCCCGCGCACGTCGCTCCAGCTGACTTCAAGGGTGACGCAGCCGCACAGGCCGTGAGGGGGCGGGTGCAGGTGCGAGAGCGCCCTGCGCCTGGCGTGCAGGCGGCGCACAAAGGCGTCCAGCGACCTCCACTTCACCCTCCTGTGCCGCCCACTGCTGCTGCCGATCCCACCCCCACTGCCGCCTCCGCTGCTACTCCCTAGCCTTGGTGTTCTGCAGGCAGCAGCACCAAGGTAGATGCAACAAGTTCAGCACGCATGAAAGGGGAGAGAGCATCAGTGAATAAAGGCGTCCAGCGACCTCCACTTCACCCTCCTGTGCCGCCCACTGCTGCTGCCTATGCCCCCGATGCTGCCTCCTCCGCCACCATTGCTGCCACTTCCTAGTCTCGGAGTTCTGCAATGAAACGTCACGGATTAGGAAGAGAAGCAGCATGCGGAATGCAAGAATATGAGGTGGTTTTTGTGGTGATCAAAGGTGTGCAGCAGCGGCATCTGCTCGACCATCCCATGACTCCCAGAAGCTGGACTCATTATAAGCCTCTTCATTTAACCGCCTAGGTCCTTCTACAATTCAGCTCGTATACTCCCACTGACCTGCAGAAGGAGTCCACCAGCGGCATGATCTCGCCCGGAATCTAATCCGCAAAAAGCCTCTTCGATTCACAGCCTACATTTTTCTACAACCACCTCGTATCTCCCCACTGACCTGCAGAAGGAGTCCTCCAGCATCATGATCTCACCAAGAATTTGATCCGTTATAAGCCTCTTCAATTCACAGCATACGTCATTCTAACATTCAACTCGTATCCTCCCACTGACCTGCAGAAGGAGTCCTCGAGCGCCATGACCTCGCCAAGAATATGATCCGTTAAAGGCCTCTTCAATTCACAGCTTACGTCATTCTACATTCAGCTCTTATCCTCCCACTGACCTGCAGAAGGAGTCCTCGAGCGCCATGATCTCGCCCAGCAGGCGGTCCATGAGGCTGTTGTTCGCGAACGGCGAGTCGTACCGCGGCGCCTGGAGTCCATGGGAGTGGGGGGAAGACACCCCGAGAGACAAAAAGGACCCGGAATGATGGAACAATGTGGGAAGTGGGGAAACGACGAATGGTATCAATAATTCCTGTGCCGAGGAGGAAATGAGGTCACGGAAAGAACATTCTGAATCTGTTTTAACAACTTCCAGCTTAGACGAATGATCATATCGTGCCTTCTTTTGCGTTTTCTGCCTGAATCCAGCTTTTTTATCACGAAGAATCTGTTCATTCCCGTGGAGTCCAGGCTGACCTTGGATAGCAGCTGCCATAGGCCGGCATCTTTCCAGCTGCTGCGCTTGGGACACCACGGGCTGTTCACGAAGAACACCAGCTGACCGGCCTCCTTGGCGATGTGCACGGACAGAATGGACCCCTTCGACGTCTTCCGCCTGCCAGCACCATGTTTATTGACCGGAAATAAACAGTGAAACAAAGAAAGAAAACTCATTGTTTAATTAACCGTAACGGCGACTTGATGAATGGACCCTTCGAGCGAACCTTCCGCCTACCAGCACCATGGATTCCAGCACCGGTAGTTAACATCGGACATCAGCTTTCTCCCTAATCGACAGTGAGATGAGGCAAGGCATTTTCGACGCCAATTTTTGAACGAATCGGCTCGCAAACATTAACCGCTAAGCCAAGTGTGCACCCATTATCAGTGAAAAGAATTTGGACCAGCACGCACTCGACTGGTATCTGGTAATCGCAACCTTTATCCCAATGCTCCGTATCAACGCTAACCGCAGAGCTCTTACCCTATTTGTAGGGATGTTATTGGATAGAGAGGCAGAGCAATGCCAGTTCCTGCCTCCACGAGCTCAGCCATTTAGAGACGGTGAGGTAAGACCAGCGATGAACGAACGAGCTTACACAACTCAGCATCCGAGCTCGTTCCCTGTCATCCGTCAGCATTCATGCGACAGACTACTGTCTTCTATTGATAGGTAGCTGAGAGCTAAAAAGATTGTTCAACTTGAGCCATACGGATTTGCTGAACAGCCATACATAATCGGCCATAATTCCACTGGCTTCTAATCGTCAGGCAGGCGGACGCGGACCTGGTTGGTCAGGCAATACTGATGGGGTGATGACATCGAGGTTGCTGTCAGTAACGGCGAAGATGAAATCCTTGGTTGAATGGACGAACAGGATTGCAAGGTGAGGTTCAAATGATGTGTTGTTTCGCACAAGAGTTGGTTGAAGCGTGGCTTGGGTGGTCTGGCTGGAATCTGGCGGGACGGGGTGGTGGGATGCGGAAAGGGAGGAAAGCGGGGGAGTGGGGAGAAGGAGCGGAAGGGGAAAGCGGCGAGAGGGGGAGGCTGCTGCAGCAGACAGCAGTCAAGCTTCCGTTCCGCTGATCGCGCTTGCGGAACGCGATGGTTGGGGGAGCGTGCCTGCCTGGACCAAGGATAACGCAGATCTTTCTTCGCCATGGTTGGTTGAGAAGAATCTTGGTCAGAAACGCGATAAATATTTCTTCGGTTGCGGTACGAGACAGTAAGATTAAAAACGAAATACAACTTACGTGGTAAAAGTTTTGAAATTTTGTGAAAATGGTTCCCACTACAGTGTGCCTTTTTTCAGTGTATTCGACCTTTCAACAGATGAGCTTATCTCGCACACCACCTCGCGGGCTCACTCCTCGGAGGCAAATTCCACAACAAGCCAGCCATGGCCGTCGCATTCCCCACCGCAATGTGCGGAGCTCCTAGCGCAGCTCCCTGCTATGGCTCGTCTTTTCTCCCCGGATTCAACCCCTCCTCCAGCCGCTCTTCCTCGCGAACCATTTTCATCCTCAACTCTCCCCTCTCGCTCCCCCTCCTCCCGCGAATTCCGCGACATGGAGCTCGCCACGTCAGCAGTTTTCCCGCCCCCAAATCAGAACCTTCCGTGTCCAGCGCAGGCAGAAAGATACACTATTTATCTAGCGCGAATGAGGTTAACAAAATAGCTGCTGCCATTACCCCTGCTAGTAGCTCCCATATTCCTGCGGGCACTAATCAGAGACTAGGGATAGCTTGCGCGGCGGCGGCGACGCGCGGGGCTGGCAAGGCGGGGAATGGAGAGGCCGCGCGGATGGTGATGGTGCTGGGGAAGGGCGGCTCGGGGAAGACGACTGCCTCCGTGCTGCTCGCCCAGGTGCCATGCTCCAGGCTCAGGTGCCATTCTGTTGGTTCAGGTGCCATCCAACTGGCTCAGGTGCCGTTCTGTTGGTTCAGGTGCCGTGCTCCAGGCTCAGGTGCTTTTTTGTTGGTTCAGGTGCCATCCGACAGGCCCAGGTGGCACTGTATAATAACGGCAGATGAGGGTGTTGAGTGCAAGGGAATCAATAGAATGCAGAGCATTCTTCTTGCACTCTTAAGAAATGAGAATGCAATGGTCCCAACAGTGCATTCACCTCTTCACATCAACCACATTTTACCACATCATCCACATCATCCACATCAGCCACATCATCCACATCAGTCACATCAACCACATTTTACCACATCATCCACATCATCCACATCAGCCACATCAGCCACATCATCCACATCAGTCACATCAACCACATTTTACCACATCATCCACATCAGCCACATCATCCACATCAGCCACATCAGCCACATCATCCACATCAGTCACATCAACCACATTTTACCACATCATCCACATCAGCCACATCATCCACATCAGCCACATCAGCCACATCATCCACATCAGCCACATCATCCACATCAGCCACATCATCCACATCAGCCACATCAGCCACATCAGCCACATCAGCCACATCAGCCACATCAGCCACATCATCCACAACCGTTAACGAGATCCCTCTATGCGTCCTCATTCCACCCACTCCCTCTCTCCCCTCTCCTCTCTCCTCACTCCTCTCTCCCCACTGCCTCCCAGCGGTATGCAGCAGCGGGGTACCGCACGTGTCTGGTGGTGCAGTCTCAGGACAGAGTGGCCGACAGGCTGCTGGGCCTACGCCTCACGACCTCGCCCCAACCCGTGCCTGTGCCTACTCCTGCTGGTGATGCCTCGCAGCAGCCACTGCTTTGTGCTCTTCGTGTGGAAACCACCAAGGTACGGAAACTCAATATGAGACTGTCTGGTGGTGCAGTCTCAGGACCGAGTGGCCGACCGCCTGCTCGGCATGCGCCTCACGACCTCGCCCCAACCCGTGCCTGTGCCTACTCCTGGTGGTGCTGGTGATGCCGCTGCTGCTGGGTCACAGCAGCCGCTGCTTTGTGCTCTTCGTGTGGAAACCACCAAGGTACGTACGACTCCTGGAGGTTTCTAGGGTCACAGCACCAGGTGTGGAGGTTCCATACCCAGGGGACCGACTTTTGAGGCGCCTCATAAGTCCTGGAGGTTCCCTGGGTATGGAACCACCAAGGTACGACTCCTGGAGGTTCCATACCCAACGGACCGGGTCCGTCTCCCTTGAAAATTTTTCCCATGAACCTCAAACTCAGCAGTAAATTCATTTGCACTCGTCTCTTGCCTTCCCCATGGCCCTTTCCCTGTCAGCTGCTCCTGGCTTCTCTTGAGGTCATAAAGAAACCATTCTTTTGGTGCTGCTTCCTTTCCTTACCACCCTTGCCCTGTCAGCTGCTACTGGCGCCTCTTGAGATCATAAAGAAGGCGGATGAGCGGCTGGGCATCACACAAGGCGCACTGGCAGAGGTGAGAGGGTGATTGCAGAAATATGACTATTGGTGAGAGTAATGAATCGGCTGAAATGATATTCGTCCAGACGACCAAGGCACTGAGACCAAGCACGTCAATGAGTCACAGACCCCTCTCATCCTCTGATGCGAGGTGACTTTTGAGTCGACTCAAAAGTCCAGATGGCTGTACCACTAAAACCGAGCACATCAATGAGCCACAAACCCCCCCCAACCTCTGAAACGCAAACCGCATCCCTCAGCCACAAACGCGCGAGTTTTAAACGCACGAGTCATGGACGTGGTTATGGCAGTAGCAGTCTCACACTATCCTCATCGTTCACTTTCAAACGCTTCAATCAATCTCACCCCACCCACAAACCTACACACATGCCAGGTGGTGGGCGAGGAGCTGTCGGTCCTGCCAGGCATGGACGCAGTCATGGCAGTCGCAGTCCGCACTCAACCTCACCGCATCCCTGGAGCATGGACCCCCCTCTCATACCCTGAAGCCCCACAAACCCCTCAATCTCCACCCCAATAGGTTTTTGGCGAGGAGCTGTCCGTCCTGCCAGGCATGGACGCCGTCATGGCAGTCGCAGTGCTGGAGCGCATCGCTCGTCCAGCTGGCAGCCTCCTGGCCTTTGCCACGTCATCAGGGCCGCGGTCCACGTCAGCGGGGAAGAAAGGAGCGGCAGCGGGGGAGTGGGTGTACCCGTGGGGGGAGGAGGAGGCGGAGGTGGTGGTGTTTGATGGACCCACCACGTGGGAGGTGCTGCGCATGCTGGCCGGCCCAGAGAAAGCCAGGTGAGGCGTGGTTTAGTGCGGTGGATCATGGTGATATGCGGTGATGTGCGGTGCAATGTGGTTAGCAGGGAAGAAAGAGACATCAGCAGCAGCAGCAGCAGCACCAGGTGGGGAGTGGGTGTACCCGTGGGGGGAGGAGGAGGCGGAGGTGGTGGTGTTTGATGGCCCGACCACTTGGGAGGTGCTGCGCATGCTGGCCGGCCCAGAGAAATCCAGGTGAGGCGTGGTTGTGTGTGGTGGAATGCAGTGGAATGAGATTCTCAGACCCATCTTGACCCAGCTTAACCCCTCCAGACCCAACCCCAACCCAATTCAACCCATCCGAGCCAGGTGTTACCTGCGGCGGTTCTAAGCGCTGGCAGAGCGGACAGACATCGGCCGCGTGGCTCTGCCTCTCCCCACAACCCACCCTCACTCACTCCCTCACTCACACATCTCTGCACTGACCCATCCAAGCCAGGTGGTACCTGAGGAGGTTCTGAGCACTGGCAGAGCGGACAGACATGGGCCCCTTGCAGTAGCCCCTTCCAAACCCATCTGAACCCCGTTCAACCCATCTTTGCTAGGTGGTACCTGAGGAGGTTCCGAGCGCTGGCAGAGCGGACAGACATCGGCCGGGTGGCTCTGCCTTCAGTGGCTCGCCTGCTGGACTCCATTGTGGGCTCCTCCAAAGGAGGGGGTGGCGGTGCTGGTGGGGGTGGGGAGGACGAGCAGCGCAGCACGGCGGAGATATGGGAGAAGCTCGACTCCTTCCTCTCTGTGAGTAACGAGGAGAATCTCCTGAGCTGGCACCTGTGCTGGGTGGCTTTGCCTCTATGGCCCGCCTGCTGGACTCCATTGTGGGCTCCTCCAAAAAGGGGAGTGGTGGGGGTGACGGTGGGGGTGGGGGTGGGGGTGGGGGTGGGGGTGGGGGTGGGGGTGGTGGTGGTGGTGGGGATCGGGCGGACGAGCAGCGCGGTACTGCCGACGTATGGCTCGACTCCTTACTCTCTGTGAGTCGGGATGGTCAGCATATAAAAAATCCCTGTAAACCCTATCACAACAGTTTTGAGAATTCTCAAAAGTGATTTCAATATAACCCCCAGCACGTTTCCCTGATCCCTCCGTCCGCCCTCTCTCGCCCGCCTGTCTTCCCCTTCTCCCACACCACCTGCCGCACCCACCCTTTCAGAAAGCCGTCTCAGCCTTCGCCGACCCATACCGCACGTCCGTCTTCCTATTGGCCGACGCAGCGAGCCACTCATCAGTCGACACGTGTCGGCGCATCTGGGGCTGCGCAGTGCAAGCAGGCGTGTCCCCTTCAGGCGTCTTCCTTCTCCCATCAGACGTACCATCCGGCGGGCTGGCAGAAAAGTTTTCTCCGCTGCCCGTGGCGGAGCTGCCCGTGGTGTCAGAGGAGGCACCGGCGGCTGTAGCGGCCGCGGCCGGGCAGATGAGCGAGGGAGCCGTGGCGGTTATGAACGGGGAAGGTGCGGGGAAGGCTCCTCCGGCCGTGGATGTGGACGTGGCGGCGTGCACGGTTCGTCTGTTTCTGCCGGGATTCGACAAGCAAGAGGTCAAGCTGCAACAGGTGAGCGAGCTTAACTTATAGGGAGTCAGGTTGGCATTGAGTGGAAGGGCGGGCAGAGCTGCTTGTAGAGGCACGCTTGTTAATCAGGAAAGCAGGGGTGCTGTGTGTGTGGGGCCGCCTCGAGCCGGTCAAGGGAATGGGGCGTGGAATGAGCCGTTCAGAGGAAGGTCACACACACTCCTCCGGCGGTGGATGTGGATGTGGCGGCGTGCACGGTTCGTCTGTTTCTGCCTGGCTTTGATAAGCAGGAGGTCAAGCTGCAACAGGTGAGTGGTGTTGGGTTCTCTAACATATTTTCACCAAGGTTTAAGATATTCCCTCCAATTATGCCCTCCTCTAGTAGAGGCTTTGACCAGAGGCGCTGTGTGGAGCTGCGTCGAGCCGTCCCGAGGAAGTATCCACATGCTATTTGCCCTTAGTTCCCCACTTCTGGCCTTACGCCCCCATTTTCCCTTTGCTTTTCCTCCCCCCATACGCCCACAGTGGAAGGGCGGGGCAGAGCTGCTGGTGGAGGCGGGGGACCAGAGGTGGTGTGTGGAGCTGCCCCGAGCCATTGAGGGGACGTTGACACACATATTGTCCCATATTCCCCCTCCTCCCCTTCCTCAATCCCACCCATCCACAGTGGAAGGGCGGGGCAGAGCTGCTGGTGGAGGCGGGGGACCAGAGGAGGTGTGTGGAGCTGCCTCGAGCCATTCAGGGGAAGGTGGTCGGGGCGAAATTTGATCCTGCGGGGTTCCTTATAATCACACTCAAGCCTGCAGCAAAGTAGCAGATGAGCAAAGTAGCAGACAAGCCCTGCATATGGCTGCTTAGAGGGAAAGGTGGCATCGAGCTGCTGAAATTGTTGAAGTTTTGACTTTTGGGTTGACTAAGTAGATGTCTCCCTTTGACGATATCATATGCTAGGTTAGTGGGAGAAGGGGGCGCGGCACGAGGTGAAGTTTGAATTTTGAGCCAGACTATTGTTCTGCTGTTCTTCTATTCTCTCATTTCTGTTCCACCTCCTTGCTACTGACCCCCCTCTTCCCCCCCGCATGGATATGGGCTGGGCGGAGGGGAAGAGGATCAGCTTCCATCCTACGAGCCAAATCTCTTTATATCAGTCCTCTCACCAGAACGAGGTGTCAAGCTGAGCTGTGGGCACCAGATGTGATACAATCGTTCAACCTTCAATTCAAGTTCCCGCGTCAACAAAAATCTTCTAAATTCAATTCAATAAGTTTCGCTGAGCTGTGTCCTTCCACCGATTCAAACCCCCTTCACCCTCCGTCATCACAACAGCACAGTACCGCACCGCAAATTCCGCCACTCACAGCAACCCCCGACAATAGCCCAGCAGCACCGCCCTCTAGCCACCCCGCGTGCGACTCGAAGGCAGGAAATAAACCAATCACATGCGCATAATCCGCGGTCCGCGCTAAAATTCTCCAACACTGGAAAATCCTTCTCCATTCCAATTTTCCCTCAAGGAAGCAAGTCAGCCCAGACCCCGACCTGAAAATCACTCGAACATATATATTCAGCTTCGATCACCATTTCGACATCAACAGCTCACATTCCGCTCACATTCCGCTCGGATTCCTGCTCCCACAAACAAGCTTTCTTTTCACACATCGGCTCCCCAGCGACCCTGCATTAGCTAACTCGCAGATATCGAATCGCATCTCCCTATTCGGCAAATTATGGCACGCAGTGGTGCTCCTGCTGTGATCCTCATAGCACTCCTCGTCACAGGTGAGAACAGCTGATACTTTTCGACTCATCATACCATCTTTCCTGTGCGCTTTGCATGCCTGAAGCATCATGTTTTTTGTGTATGATGCTTTTTTCCCTTGACTCTTCCTCATTTTCTCTTTGCATTTTGTTTGTTCGACATACAGTGCTTCTCCCGCAAGGAAATGAAGCAAGGTTCCTTCCGACAACCCGCCTTCCGACCAACCTCAAGCCATCCGCAGCAGCAGCCAAAGCAGCCGCCGCGGCCTCAGCAGCTGCCGCAGCCGCCGCAGCCGCCGCGAAATCAGCCGCCGCAGCAGCCCCGAACGTAAACCTTAGCCCCGCATCTCTCAACTCTTCTATCTCCGATTTCGTGACGTCACTCAACGAAAGCATCAACAACTTGGTCGCAAGCCTCAACAGCAGCGCCATTGCCACAGAGGCCGCGCTAAAGGCGCAGGCAGCCGCGTTGAACGCCAGCCTCTCCGCGCTTAGCGACAGCCTCGCGCACCTCAACTTCACGTTCACTAGAGCGAATATTTCGTTAGAGGAGCCAGTGGCGTCAGATTCATCACTAGCACCACTGCTGACGGCCCTGAAGTCTCAGCTTTCGGCGCTCGACTCGAAGCTGTCTGCCGAGGGCTTGAAGACGAGCTTCGACGCGCTCGCGAAGAACCTTGCGGGCTTCGCGACAACGGGGTCCGCGGGGGCGCTACCCCTCTCGACGGTGGCGGCTTCTGGCGTGAATGTTTCGCCAAGCGCGAGTGCTGCAGCGGCCAGCGTGAATGCCGCGGACTTGGCGAAGCAGATGACAGATCTGACGCAGCGGCTCGCGGGGATCAACGGGAATGTCAACGCGTTTGCTGGGATGGTGAACGTTGTTGCCAGCGGGGTTGCTAACGGCGTGAACGGGGTTCTCAATGGTGATGTGGACGGCAGCGTGGTGGCGAATGTCGCAAATCTTCTGCCTCAGCAGGCGGGCATGCTGCGTGCCGTGCTGACGTCATGCAACGGCCTACTGTCTCTCCAGGCCGGCGCTGCTGACATTCAGATCCTCAAGATGTGAGTTGACTCGCGTTGACTGTTGAATCGTGTCGATCCATCGTCCAGCAAATCCTTTTTACCACCAGGCTTTGTCCTTGCATTTTTTTCACCGTTCGTTTCAGCAAGTTCTGCCAATGCTGGTTCTAGCCTCCTTATCTCATGCTCTCGTTTTCCCGTTCCCCCTCTCTGCTGCCTCTTCCTTCATCCGGTGCAGTGGCTCGGACTATCTGGTGACATATTACCTTTACGTAGCGGGAGTGACCAAGGCCCCAGACTCTCAAGCCATTTTCAAGGGCAACCCTTGCAACACTGCTGCCACGGTGCCCCTCGCCCTGCCTGGCACGTGGGTGCCCATGAGCCCTGTGTCCTGGTCGCTGGCCAATGTCGTCAGGACATCTGCCGCTGACGTGGCTGATCTGTTGGCATCGCTCCAGACGGTCACCAATGACAGGCTATACATGGGAATCTTTGGGGCTGATGGGGCACTCTCGGGGAGGATTATTGGGGGAAAACTATAAAGGAGGGTCATGACAGGAACATATGGCGATGGCAGGAACATTTTAGATGCTTCATCTCTCTGGTAACCTGTCATGAGATGATGCATCTGTCATGTTCCAACCAGTGTGCTAGAGAATGTGTTTATGCTAGACCAGGAGAAAATAGGTTTGGGATCTTTTGCCAATGCCTTTTGAAATGAATTTCTCATCTTTTACTGAAATGATTGCAACAGTATGATTATAAAATTGCTTTGGAGTTCCTTATGAGAAGGTGTACAATATGATCACCACGCCATGTTAAACTGTGCGCTGGAGGGGAGCAGATTGACAAAAGAACAGAACCCTTCAGTTTTCATTGCTTAGCACCAACGTGCCCGAACCTAAACGCTACCCAACCCCACACAACCTCTTCATATCATTCTACATTGCGTTACGGTCCTTTGTTGCATCACGAGCTAGGTGGTATAGTGGATTTCTGTATTGTTGTATCGTATGGGGACTGCACCTGGGTGGTGTACAGGGACTGGCTTTGGAGTATGCATCGTGGAGTTGATATCCACCATTCTGAGAAGGGCCAGCCACAAGCAGTTAATGGTGATTTGCTGCATATTTACCTCTTGCCAAATGAGCCTGGTGGATTTAGGGCTTCCACACTGTACCATACACTTGTAAAGCTCACTAACTTCAAACGAAGGCGCTTCAATCCATTTCGCTTGTCATTTTCGGTGGCCAAGCCCACTAGCATTTTCCGTTCCGTTCCCCTCCGACACGGAACCGCTGCTTCCGCCAGCAGCACCGCACCAGCCTCCTCCGACAAACCTCAGCAGCTGACACCCCTACACCGCGCCGCTCCCAGGCCTCCGCGTGCGACTGGACGGTAGGAGATAGATAGACCAAATGACGCACACAATCCGCGGTCCGCGCTGAAGTTCCCGAAATTTCTTGTTCCAAGCTCCTGTCCTTCACATCGAAAGCAAGCACCCCACACAGTCCATACGCAGCGGAACATATATATATTGAACAGCGAGAAGCATTTGAGCATCAACTCTCATAACACACCCAAACAGCTATCTCCAGCACCGCTATTTCAGACACTAAAAACTGCACCTCTTGATCTCATTTCTTCGCTCGCACTGATTACAGCGATTTTCGTTCCAATATTGTTTAACAAGGGAAAACGCCTGCCTGAGCTCTCCTACCAGTTAGCACTCGACGATCATCATGGCACGCACTGCAGCTCCATCCACGCTGGGACTTGTCGTGGTCCTCACAGGTGAGCCGCTCAACCAAACCGTGATTTTCAGCACATAAGAGTACCTCTTCACGCGTTACACATGAAAACATGTCTGTCACAAACTTTCGTTTGCAATTCGTCCAAAAAACTCATCTCTCCTCTTTTTCAATGTTTGCAGTGCTTTTGGCAACACAACGAGCCGAAGCAGGCCGGTTTCTAGTACCCAGCGCCGGCAATCTTCCCACCAATCGCCTTCCACCCGGTTTAAATTCAGCCGTCGCGGCAGCAGCCGCAGCAGCCAAAAAACCCACAGCGACGCTCAGTTCGACGCTCTCGGGCCTCCAGTCGTCCCTCAGCGGCCAGATCACATCTCTCGACGCGCTTCTCAAGACATCGCTCGATAAAATCTCGGCGGCTCTCAAAAGCAGCCCGTCAGCTGCAGACGAGGCGCTCCAGGCGCAGATATCCGCGCTAAAGGCCAACGTCGCTGCTTTAAACGAGATCCTCGTCAATCTGAACGCGCTGAACATCTCAGGATCGGATTTGAACGTCACGGATCTGATTTCTTCCCAGATCTCCGGAATCCGATCCAACATCTCCTCCATCAGCGCCGGCATCGCCGCTCTGAACAAGGGCCTGGCCGGGATAATTGGCTCGGGCGTAGGCTCGGGCTCAGGCTTGGGCGCAGGATTGGCGGGCGCGTTGCGTCCAGCAGCCGGGGCGGCTTCCGCGAGTGGGAGCGCGGCGATCCGCACGGCGGTGAGGCAGCGGATGGCGGCTGTGACGCAGCGAGTGGCGGGGCTCAACGGGAACGTGTCCGCGCTCGTGGGGATGGTGACTGACTTGCACAGCGCGCTGAGCGGCGCCTTGGACAACGCTTTGAACAGCGCTCTGAATGGCGGCGCTTTGAACGGCGCTCTCAACGGCGCTTTGAACGGCGGCGCTTTGAACGACGCTCTGAATGGGGGTTTGAACGGCGGCGGTGTGAGCGGCGGTGTGGTGGGCAATCTCGCGAATCTTCTGCCCCAGCAGGCGGGCATGCTGCGTGCCGTGCTGACGTCATGCAACGGCCTGTTGTCTCTCCAGGCCGGCGCTGCTGACATCCAGATCCTCAAAATGTTAGTTGACTCGCGTTGACTCGTGCTGACTCATGTTGACCTCCGTCCAGCATTTTTCTCTCTACACCATTTTTTCTCGCATTTTGACTCGGTTGGCCCTTGTTGACTCAATGTTGAACCGTGTTGCTTTCCCTCTTCCCCTGTCCACCTCCCCCCTTCCCGAATGCAGTGGTTCGGACTACATGCTCACATACTACCTGTACGTAGCAGGAGTGAGCAAGGCCCCGGACTCGCAGGCCATTTTCAAGGGCAGCGCCTGCGGCACCGCTGCTGCTTCAGCAGCCCTGCCCCTGCCTGGCACGTGGGTGCCCATGACCCCTGTGTCCTGGTCGCTGGCCAATGTCGTCAGGGCGTCCGCTGCTGACGTGGCGGATGTGCTGGCATCGATCCAAGGGATCACCAATGCTGACTTGTACATTGGAATCTCCGGGGAAAATGGGACACTCTCAGGGAGAATGATGGGCGGAAGGGTGTGAACTGCAGCGAGTGGCGGGGTGGAGGGTGGAAGGTGATGGGTGTGGTGGGGGAACATTGCAGAAGCACCACTCATGCATGCAGCTACACAAGTAAATACGTGCAGCTAGATGGAGTCACAGGATAGGAGAGAGAATGCTTTTGTAATGTTCCATTCATCAAACAGATTTCTGTTCAATGGCCCGTTACTTGATAGCTAAAAAAAACCACCTCTGCGGTCTTGCGTGGAGGTAACAGGGGCAATCCCACGCTTGTGCCAATGGCCTCACATTCACACAAATAGTCAAACCTTCCTCATCTAACAATCCCAACGTGTACGATAAGCTAAGGTACCGTACCGAACGGTCCCGTAAGATCTTGTATTAGCGCAAGTGCTTCAAGCAGGGGCCCCAACCCGCCACTGAACACTGACTCATGCAGCCGCATCAGGAGCAGCAGTGCAGCAACGGAGCAGCAGCAGCCCTTCACACAGGGCCCCCATCAAAGAGCACTAGCTGTGGCAACAGGGACAGAACCAGCTCCCGATACCCATCCCACATGCAAGACAGCAGCAGCAGTACTTCACGCAAGGCCCCCATCAGGTGCTGATACCCATCCCACCGACACATGTGCAGCAGCAGCAGCGCCGATTCACACAGGGCCCCCATCAAAGAGCATCAGCTGTGGCAGCAGGGACAGAACCAGCTCCCGATACCCATCCCACTGGCACACGGGATTTCCCGTCAAATCAAGCACTGCCACCTGGCGCAGCCCGCCTAGGCACTGCAGCACCGCCCACAGGTTCGGGTGCTGCCGAACCAGATCCACGGTTGCTGCTGCTGCTGCTGCTGCTGCTTCGCCAGCAGCTTCGGTAGCAGGCTCGGCAGATGATGAACCCCCTACCCCACTGGTAGCCGTACCGGAGGGAATGTCCTCACCCGTGCCGTTTCTTCGTGTGACCCAAGAGGGGAATCGGTTGCAACGGGGGGAGGGGTGGCAGTAGCGGTGGTGGTCGACGGGTTTGCCTCCCAGGAGGTTGTGAGCGAGGGAGAGAGCGCGGAGGGCGGGGAGGTGGGCGAGAGGGGCGATGGCCGAGGAGAAGGCGATGCGGTTGTGAGAGAGGTCCAGGACTTGCAGATTCTGAAGCGCCTCGAAACCTGAGGGGGGATAGGTGGAGGGAGCGTAAGAACACAAGTGTTAAAGCACCACCAGAGCACGAAGGGAGGGGAGGAGTGTGAGAAAGGGGATGGTCGATGAGAAAGCGACGCGGTTGTGAGAGAGGTCTAGCACTTGCAGATTCTGAAGTGCCTCGAATCCTGGGGGGTTGGGAGGCGGGAGGGAGCGTGTGATGTGAAGATAAGTGTTGGGATGTTACCAGAGCATTCCGATAGGGGAGGTGGGCGAGAGGAGCGACGCACCTGTGAGAGTGGAGATGCGGTTGTGGGAGAGGAGCAGCGTGGAGACTGGCAGCAGGCGATGGGGCGCTGGTAGGCAGGAGAGGTGGCGATGGGACAGACACACTGTGGTGGTGGTGCCGCTGCTGCTGCGGGCGTTGGTGGTGGTGCTGCTGCTGGTGCCATTGCTGCTAACATTGGTGGTGTTGATTGTGGTGGGTGTGTCCTGATGGGGTGAATCATGGGCGAAGGGAGGAGGTGCAAAGATGGGTGAGACAAAAGAGGGGACAAGATTGGATTCCAAAGGTTGGGTTAGAGTGTCCATCCATTAAAAGCCACACGAGCAGTCACTCCCATGTTTGGCACTCAATCTCACTTCTTCTCACTACAAGGCTTCGAGCAGGTCTCAGCAATACCCCAGCCAAGGTGACCCATGAGTGGTACGGATCGATCCCAGCCAAGGTAACCACAGAGTTGACACAGAACTCACACACACACACACACACACACACACACGCACGCACGCACGCACGCACGCACGCACGCACGCACGCACGCACGCACGCACGCACGCACGCACGCACGCACGCACGCACGCACGCACGCACGCACGCACGCACCCCTCTCTTAGCCACACAACCTTTTCTTAGACACTCACCCTACATACCTCTTCCCCCTCCAACACTTCTAGCAGGTCTCGGTAATACTCCTTGTGGTCGATTCCTCACCAGCCAAGCTTGCTGCTGTTCCTTAAACAAAACCTCACCTCGTTAACAGACGCTCCTCACCACTTCCCCCTCAAGCGCTTCTAGCAGGTCTCGGTAATACTCCTTGTGGTCGATTCCTCACCTCATTCATCCACCCTCCTCCCACACACACACCCTGCTCATTCTTGCACACACCCTCCTCACCTCTTCCCCCTCCAACTTTTCTAGCAGGTCCCGGTAATACTCCTTGTGGTATGGATCGATTCCCACCAGCCGCCGAAGCAACGACCGAACCTCCTCGCGAGCCTCGGCATCTTTCCGAACCTGCATGGGTAGGTTCGGCAAAAGGTGGTGGAGCTGGCGCCGTGTGGAGAGGAGGCGGGCGAGAGAGAGGAGAGCCCACTTGCTGGAAGACGATGGTTGAAGGGCAGGAAAGGGGCGGAGACAGGGAAGGGAATGGAGGATTGTTTTAGTTGACACAAGAAGTGGAGAGCAGGTGGGTGAAGGAGGGGATAGCTTACTTGCTGCAAGCAAGGGGGGACAGGAAGGGAAGGGGAAAAAAAGGGGAAAGGGGAGCGGGGTTTCGGGGTTGAGAGCGCGCGAGAGGAACCGAAGCTGGAAGCAGGAGGAAAGGAGACGGCATACCAGAAATGGGTTGAGCAACTCTTCTTGGTGTTGGAGGGACCACACCACACAGACACGACATGGTCCAAGCCACACCACACATCGCACGGAATACCACGCACACACCTGTCTGGCTCCAGGTCAATGAGCTCGCGACACATGTCAATCTCCCGTTGGACCACGTCCACCCGCCACTGCTCGCTCTCTCCTGCCGCACCACCAGCACTAGCGGCAGGACCACTGGCAGCAACATCGCCATCAGCAGCAGCAGGCGCAGCAGCAGGAGCAGGAGCAGGGAGAGGAGGCGAAGGGGAGGAGGAGGGCCAGCGGAAGTTGGACCAGTCGTGAGTGGAAGGATTCGCGAGCAGTTCAGTTCCATGCAAGTGACTGCCATCGGTGGGAGATGGGACCGAAGCGCTTGCTTGCACCTGTAACGTGAAGCTATTGCTGCCATTGCTGCTGTTGCTGCCATTGCTGCTGTTGCTGTCCGTGTGAGGGTGCAGGAGGGACTGGCCAGTGGCAGCGGAGCGTATGGTGGATGGATGGGTGAACACCCACGAGACCAGGATGGTGGGTGACGAGGCACCTGCACCTGATTCCCTCCCATCCGCAGCAGCAGCAGCAGGAGCAGCAGGAGCAGCAGCATCAGTAGCCGTAGCAGTAGCAGTAGCAGCAGCATTGATGTCATGAGACGCAGAGCAAACGACTTGCGCCGTCCATACAGATGCACTCTCCGACCCCACATTGCAGCCTGCTTCCCTCCCATAGCCAGCCTGCTTCCCTCCCACGCGGGAAGATAGCCACGCCTCTTCTCCCCCCACAGCCCTCCACTCACCCACCTCCAATCCAGCCCCCGTTAGAGTCACACTCTCTCTTGTCACCCCCACCACAGGTTCGGAGAACACCAGCACCGCGGACATCCGAACCTGGCCCGCAGCTCCGGCAGAAGCTTCAGAAACGGCCCCCACAGCTGCAGAGTCGCCTCCAGGAGATTTCTCAGGCGGATTTTCAGGTGTGGAGAAGCAGACAGTGCTTCCAGGCGAAGGCCAGGAGGTGAGGAGGCGGGGCGGCAGGGGCGGCAGGATCTGCTGCAGCAGCCAGTGCTGGTACATCCACCCACTCTGATCGTCAGGCTCGGTGAAGAAGGCCTGGCGGACCAACTCACACTCCTCTTCCAATGCTGCCTGGGGCAACCCTCCCGCCTCTGAGGGTGTCTGGCACGAGTGGAGTTTTGGTAGCAGCTTGCTGTGGGGCGCGGTGGAGAACGAGAAGGGAAACGGGAGAGTGAGGAGGCTCGGTGAGAGAAGGCCTGGCGCACCAACTCACACTCCTCCTCCAGTGCTTCCTGGGGCACTACTCCTGCTGTGTCTGAAGGTGTTAGGCGTGAGTGAAGCTTGGGCAGAAGCTTGCTGCGGGAGGGAGAAGTGGAGGGGAGGGAGAGGGAAGACAGAGGGAGAGAGCCGGACAGGAGGAGCAGGGAAGGTTGAGAGAGGGCAGTGAGAGCAAGCAGTGATGTTGTTGATACATCCACCCACTCTGATCGTCGGGTTCGGTACAGAAGGCCTAGCGAGGTGACTTTTGAGTCGACTCAAAACTCTTTGGTAAAGAAGGCCTAGCGCGCCAACTCACACTCCTCCTCCAGTGCTGCCCCCTGCTGCCTCTGAAGGTGCTTGGTGTGAAAGCATCGGCACAAGCTTGGTGCGGAAGAGGTGATAGGAAGAAAACCCAGGGGAGAAAAACGGATGAGCGAGGGCAGGTGGAGTGGCAGTGGGTTGAGGGTGATCCATTGATGCATGCACACATGCATGCATGCACACATGCACGCATGCACACATGCACACATGCACACATGCACACATGCACACATGCACACATGCATGCATGCATGCACACATGCACACATGCATGCACACATGCACACATGCACACATGCACACATGCACACATGCACACATGCACACATGCACACATGCACACATGCATGCACACATGCATGCACACATGCATGCACACATGCACACATGCACACATGCACACATGCACACATGCACACATGCACACATGCACACATGCACACATGCACACATGCACACATGCACACATGCACACATGCACACATGCACACATGCACACATGCATGCATGCATCCGTCCACCCACCCAGCCACCTCTCCTCACCTCCTGCTCTCCTTCCCCTCACCTCCTGCTGTGCCACGCGCTGTAGTTGCTGAAGTTGGCGTTGATTCGCTCCATGGTGAACGCCAGGTCCTTGGCTGGTGACATGCGCGCCACATGCGAGATGAACCTGGGTGCACGGTTGGCATGGGCGCACGGAAGGGGTGACGAAGAGAGTGGTTTTGATTCGCTCCCTGGTGAACGCCAGGTCCTTGGCTGGTGACAGATGTGCGACATGCGAGATGAACCTGCGTGCATGGTTGCATTGAGATGGACAGCAGCAGCAAAGGAAACGATTGTATCAGTGCAGAAAGAGAATAAAGGTGTCCTTGCAGGATACTTGGAGGCGAGGAGGCATGTGAGCCACACGCGAGATGAACCTGCGTGCATGGATGCGTTGGGATAAGCAAACAAAGAGATGGGCAACGAGAGTGCCAAAGTGGGTGGCACTGAGAGCCCCTTGGATGGTGGCATGCGAGCATAATCGTTACCCCACAGCACCTGCATCACCACCACACACACCCATCATCACCGATCACAATCCCTCTCCACCATTACCTCCAGTAGTCCCACACATGGAGGTTCTGGTCATCAGAACTCAGCATCATACCCATCATCACCGCACTCAACCCTACCTCCAGTAGTCCCAGGCATGGAAGTTCCGATCATCTGCACTCAGCATCATCCCCAGCAGCTTCTGCTCACGAGCAATCCGAGCCTCCGTCCGCAGGTTGATCCGAACCTGCTGCAGGCTCGGCCCGAGGCTGGCTCCGAGGCTAGGGAGAGGCTCGGAGGAGGACAAGGCGAAGAGCCACTTGCGGTGGTGCCAGGCGCCGTAGCACTTGGGGTTGGCCTGTAGCGCTGCTTCTATCTGATGTGAGTGAGGGGGAATGGAGAGAGTTAAAGGATGGTGACTCAAGAAGGCTCTTGCGGTGGTGCCAGGCGCCGTAGCACTTGGGGTTGGTCCGTAGGGCTGCTTCTATCTGAAGTGAGTGTTTGGGGGGGGAGGGGAGGAACGGAGAGAGTTAAAAGATAGATCTCTGAGGTGACTCAAAAGCCACTTGCGGTGGTGCCAGGCGCCGTAGCACTTGGGGTTGGTCCGTAGTGCTGCTTTGGTCTGTTGTGAGTGCGTGAGGGAGAGTCCAAAAGGGAGGGGGAATGAGTTACAAGGAGGGTTGCTTTTGAGAATTCTCCAAAGCGACTCAGGTTTGAGAGGGGGGTCTGAGGAAGGTTCGACTCAAAAACCACTTGGGTTTGGTGGTAAGTGTAGCGAATCAGTTCGGATTTTGAAAATTCTCAAGGTGTAAAAAGTGAATTTTTGAGACGTCTCAAAAAATCATTTTTTACAAGTAGATTCTCAAGCGCGACTCGGTGTAGAGCTCGCAAATTTGTATGTTGAGGCAATTGCACCATCACTCACTCACTCACACTACTCACCAGTTTCAGCTCTTCGTCAGCCAATTTTCCTTTTGCTTCCTCTATCTTCCTCTCCTCTTCTCTCGCCTTCTCCTCTTCCCTTCTCACCCTCTCCTCTTTCTCCCGTTGCAGCCTCTCCTGATCCTCTCCCTGCTTCCCATCGTTCTCTCCCCCCACTGCACTCTCCTCCCCACTGCCATCCCTCCCTCCCGCACTCACCACCTCCCCCATTGCCCCAACCGTCCCAACCTTTCCCTCCCCTAATCCCCCCTCTCCCTCCACCTCTTTCCACCCCTCCCCATGCCCCTCTTTCCCCTGTCCCTCTTTCCCCTGCGCCTCCTTCTCCCCCTCTTTCACCTCCGCACCCCTCTGCACCGCTTTCCTCTCCCTGCTCCCATCCTTTCCTGCCTCCAGAGCGCCGCATCGGTGCACAAAGGCCTTCTTGCGGTAGTTCCACGTCACGTACACGTCGGGGTTCTGCTCCAGCAGTGCAGCGCTGGCAGCCAGTGCTTCTGGTGAAAAGCTGAAATCAGGAAGAAAGGGAAGAGAGGGGGGAGCAGGAAGGAAGGCCTTCTTGCGGTAGTTCCACGTCACATACACGTCGGGGTTTTTTTCTGAGAGAGCAGCGCTGGCTGCTAGTGCTTCGGACGAGTAGCTGAAAGTAAGCCGGGAGGGGAGAAGCAAGGGGGAGAGAAGAGAGAGGCCTTGTTGCGGTAGTTCCACATTACATACACGTCAGAATTCTGCTCCAGCAGTGCAGCGCTGGCTGCTAGTGCTTCTGGCGAAAAACTGATATCAGGAAAAAAGGGAAGAGCGGGGGGAGCAGGAAGGAAGGTCTTGTTGCGGTAGTTCCACGTCACATACACGTCGGGGTTCTGCTCCAGGAGAGCAGCGCTGGCTGCTAGTGCCTCAGGCGAGTAGCTGATGGAAAGTGGTACGGTAGGAGGGAGGGGAGACGGAGGAAGCCTTTTTGCGGCGCATACACCTCAGGGTACTGCTGCAGTAGAGCACCGCTGGCGGGTGGGAGGAGGGGGGAGGGATCTTCTTGGCGGTAGTTTTATGAGAATGCGATGCGTGGAGCTGCACTGCACTGCACTGCACCACACTGCACTCTGCAAATCCTGATGGCTTCTGAGTCAAATCTAAGCATCTTGCAAACCCGATCAGTGCGGAAGTGCCACTTCAGCAAGCCGCCTCTACTAGTGGCATTTTAACAACCCTCTCTGCCACTCACACGTTCTGCTGGTGCCACGTCAGCACCTTCTCCTGCAAGGCGCGCAGCCGAAGCGCCTTCTTGTTCGACTCCGCCGCCTTCTGCTGGCCCGCGGCGCTGCCCTCCGCCTTCACCGTCACTCGCGGCCGACCGTGCATCGTGACGATCGACGATCGACGGTCGATGCTCAACGATCGACGGTTGACGCTCAACGATCAACGGTCAAGACGCTTGACGTTCGTGATACTAATTTAGATCGTCGTTTAGCTGATCGGATTGATCTGTATCCCCAGGTTTTGCCTAATTTTCTCCTTGTCTCGTACGCAAACCGTCCTCGCCGTCACTCGCGGTCGGCCGGGTAACCCGGATGGGTCGCAATCTCGGCGAACTTGAACGATCTCGACGACTACGACGATAGCTGTTGTCGCTAAGTGCTATCAGGCCAGCCTATGGCGCGGATGCGGGGTACGAGCCACAACAAGAGCGGCTGCAAGCAATCGAAGGAACTGGCGCATTCGTGCAGCATTCGCGGTATTGTTACTAACTCGATACGAGAGTTATAGTTATTTACATTCAAGTGTTCGCTCGAAGTTGATGAATTAAAATGTGGCTCAATCACTCCATGGCGCACAACGTAAGAATCAAACGGGTCGAATCATTTTCCAGAACTCAGACCATATGCACATAAATAAGACTAGAGCTCCAAGTCTCACACCATACCCCTATACGCCATCCACTGCAATACCAAACACCCCTAGCAGAATTCCAGGTGTGGGAGCACCTCCGAGCAAGACAACGCCTCACAATTCCAATTCTAGTTCACAACTTATGCTTGAATCTGGCAGGAACCCGAAATCAGGTCCCAGTTAGCAGAAATCATGAACCGCATCCCACCGTTCCCAATCATGTTGTAGTCAAAAGTGTTGCCATTGCCATCAGTACCCTGAGAAAATTCGCCAAACTGCCATGCGCACAGATCGGCGTTCTCTTCCCCTTCAGAGGTAAACCACCCATTAGCGGTGTCCGGGTCGGTAGTAGCCTCGGTGATTTCGTGAGCCATGACGGAGACCATGCTGTCAATTCCGGGCTTGCCATTGGGCGAGACGCTGGATGGGGTGGGGGATATGAGGACACATATTTTTTTGGTTAGGATAGGGTAATTGACGATGGAGTGTCAGGGTAAAATCCAAGGCTTTGGAGTGGGATGCTGAATGCGGTCGGAGGGTATTCGCTTGGAGGGATAATGATGTTTGCAGCTCTCACTCGCTGTGTTTGCATCCACTCACTCGCTGTGTTTCATCCACTCACTCGCGGGATGTTAGAGGGTATTCACTCACTCTCTGGGTTTGCATCCACCACACAAGTCGGGTTGTGCGACGAGCCCCACAGCCACAGACTCTCCCGACGCCAGTTGACGGAGCGTGTGGTAACCACAGAACTTGTCACAGAATCCGTCAACCTGGACGTCAGAACTCGTGAGCACGAGGTAGATTCCGTTGGTGTCGACGGGGAGGTCCGTTCCCGCGTGCGCGTTGACGACTGGAGGAAACAAGGGGGAGGGAGGGGGGAGGGGGGGGGGGAAGAGTGAAGAGGTGGAGTGAGCACGAGGTAGATTCCGTTGGTGTCGACGGGGAGGTCCGTTCCCGGGTGCACGTTGACGACTGCAGGAGAAAATGGTGGGGAGAGGGAGGGGGGCGGGGGTAAGGAGTAAGAGGAGGAAAGAGTGGGTGGGAAAGAAGCAAGAGTGAGAGTAAGGAAGGAAGAGAGAGAGAGAGAGAGAGGGAATAGCAAGCAGCGATGGCAACACCATTCAGTAAACCTGGCAGCAGCATGAGTGAAGCGAGCAGCATGAGTGAAGCGAGCAGCAGGAGTGAAGAAAGGCTCCAACAGCAAAGCCACACACACGACACGGCGACTCACTCGTGCCTATGTCGATGGACCCCTCCCCGTCAGATCCCTGCCTAGTCACCGTAACCACACACACGACACAACAAAGCCACACACACGACACAACGAAGCCACACACACGACACGATGACTCACTCGTCCCTATGTCGATGAACCCCTCCCCGTCACCGTGGCTCGTCACCGTGTTGCCAGATCCCTGGTCAGCCGCCGTGCCGGCCAACACAATCTGATTCGGAGTTGCAAAGAAGCACAGGGGTGAGGGGAGTGGATGAGTTGACTTTTGCGTTGACTTTTGAGTTGACTCAAAAGTCAGCCAGATCCCTGGTCAGCCTCTGTGCCGGCCAACACAATCTGATTCGGAGTTGGGAAAAACAAGAGGGGTGAGGGGAGTGGATGAGTTGACTTTTGAGTGGACTTTTGAGTCGACTCAAAAGTCAACCAGATCCCTGGTCAGCCGCCGTGCCGGCCAGCACAATCTGATTCGGAGTTGGAAAAAGCAGAGGGGTAAGGGCAGCAGATGAGCAAGGGGAAGAAGATGAGCAAGGGGAAGCGGATGAGGAGCAAGGGGAAGCGGATGATGAGCACAAGCGCACCTGGGGAGTGACGAACGTCTGGCAGCCGTCGTCTTTCGTCTGGTAGTAGTTGGTCGAGATGTCCCACCACTTGCGCACACTGTTCTCCCCCACCGGGTCCCCCTGTCCCCCCGCATCCCCGCCAAGCGAGCTCACGAAATTCTCGATCACGTCCTGTCCGGACCCCTCGGGCCAGTTCCCATAGTAGATTAAGTACACGTTTGGGGTGGCCAGTATCGGGCCGCCGTGGCTCGCAATGTCCGTCAGCGGTGCGCCTTCCCCCTCCAGCTCGCGCCGCTGCTGCTGCTGCTGCTGCTGCTGCCCGAAGCGCGGCCTGAGAGGGACGAACCCGGTCGCGGGCGGGCTTTGGTTCGTAGTCGTAGAGTTCGGTGCGAGAGCGTGTGGCGCGGTTCGCGCAGAGCTCGCGCCATGCGGGGGAGTGAGCCTCGCGGCGGCGGAAGCGGCGGCGGAAACGGGAGGGGAAGTGGTGGCGGAGGCGGAGGGCATTTCGCGCTGGACCCCCGCCGTCGCGGAATCTGGCGGCGCAGATGTGCTGTTTCCCCGCAATGCGGGCGTCTCAGGGGGGGATACGGGTGTCTTGCCACTGCCGCCGTTGCCGCCGCTGGGACCCCGCATTACACGGCGCATCGCCCGTCGAGGGATACTGTATCCCTGCCCAGCCTTACTGTTTGTCGCCACGCTTTCAGGCGACGCGTTTCGCATGGAGTCCAAGGCTGATTCACTGCTGCTTCCGAGGGCGAGGGAGGCCGTTGAAGTCGCCGAGAGCGCGAGGAGTAAGATCAGTGTCACATTTCCCAAGGAGGGAAACAGACCCATCTTTGGACCGTCGATTATGACGAAAACGGCCCGTCGATCGAGGCAGTGAAATCACACGAGCCGGCGGTGAGACTTGTGAGTGGCGGAGGAACGATGAAAAACCAAGTGCGTCAGGCGACGAAGTGCGATGAAGTGCGACGAAGTGCGATGATGATCGTATGGTTATGTAAATAATACGGCGAGGGACGGTTCGAACTGGTTGCTGATGGCAAACAAGGCAATTTCGTTGTTTCTTTATATTCAGTACGAAACCCTGGACTCAGGAGAAAGCTCTGGTGAGAAGCAGAGCTCGAATGGCCGCCTCCCTCATCCCGGATCGGGACGAAACAGACACGCGAGGCGCCCGTGCTTCCAACGCGACGCTTGCATGGCTGCTACTGACTCGCGCCTTCTACGCCTTCGGATTTATGGACCGCGGGTCCGGCACGGAATATGTCCCGAGTCGGACTGACAAGAACGCGAGTCACGACTACTGGCAGTAGCTCAATCTCTGCTAGTCACGGCGACATTGGCGTTAGCTGGTGTGGGAGTCTGCTTTCCTCCTCAAACAGGTGAGAGGGATGTTCTGCTGTGGTGTAGTCGAAACTTTTGAGGAAATTCTTGGAGTGGGGTGGGGAGGACGGAAGGGTGGGATGGGATGGGATGGGATGAATCGCAGCGCGGAGTCCCACACACGAATGCGACTCGCTTGCTTGAGCAACTCGATTTCGCTTGCTTCGCTTGGAGATGTTGGTGCACGAAACAGTGCTCTTCGGACGACGCGCTGCCGTGCCTCCAACTCCACCAATCTTGCACTCGGTCGGCTTCGCAACACAAAATTTCAACACCAGAAACGACGCAGGAATAAGCTGACGCGCTGTATCGACCTGAGTAAGATTTAAAAGTCAGTTACTTCTAAAGTATATAGACAGATAAACCTGATAGAATTTAGGGGTTCTAATGCTAGTAAGTAGCGTGTGATGTCTGATGGCGCAATGTCGAGGCAGGGGATGGGGTAGATGGATCAATGGGGAGTGATGGTGGTTCCACTAGTGCTAGCGATGATGGTGCTAGTAGTGATCGTTTTACTCCAGAAGGCCAGCGCTAGCTGCTAAAGCCCTGGAGACGTATCTATGAGTACAGAAATTAGGGGTCAGAGAAGGGAATGGAACAGAAAAGGGGAATGTGGTGTCAAACTGTATGTGCTGCATATTGTCTAGGCTGTAGTGGGGTAGCCCATATGGGGTACAACCAAATTAGGGTTTACTACTTGTACTCCTGCATCCTGCTAGTTCATCCATTCCTGCTGCTAGATTCTAACATGGTTTCAGAGCACTAAGGTCCGTAGGACCGTTTTTTTTTTTTTTTTTTTTTTTTTTTTCGGGCCCACCTACCGCTGCGGTTACCGCGCTACCCCACGTACCTGCCTGCCTTGCCTTGCCTTGTGACGTGCTGCACTATGCGCGCCGTCCAGCAGCCCTAGCGCTGCCTCCTGCTGCCCTAGGCCAGCGCGCTGCCCCTAGAGGCCCGTAAGGCCCGCGCGCCGCCTCTACACGCCCGTCAGGCCCGCAAACAGCCCCTGCAGACCGTTAAGCACGCTGCTGCCGCGCGCTGCCCGCACCGAGCCCGCGCAGCCCGCACCGAGTCGCGCGCAGCCCGCTGCAGCCGCGCGCAGCCCGCACCGAGCCGCGCGCAGCCCGCTGCAGCCGCGCGCAGCCCGCACCGACCCGCGCGCAGCCCGCTGCAGCCGCGCGCAGCCCGCACCGAGCCGCGCGCAGCTCGCAGCTGCCGCGCGCAGCCCGCGCCGAGCCCACGCAGCCCGCGTCGAGCCGCGCGCGGCCTGCTACGGCCTCGCGAGGCCC